ATGTCGATATGCAGTAATTGTCCAGTCCGTCCTCCTAAGGTTTCCCAACGTCAAGAAAACGGTCAACTTAAAGTGTCCTCTCCTAACATACCAGAGGACCTAAAACAGAAAATGGGATAGTAGGTCACTTTCGCGAGCCGCTTCCATTTTCAAGTACGACAATTGTTATCCTTATGTAACGCATACGATCGAAATGCAACGTTCTTTGCAAGAGGACAGGTTGAATTGTCAGAGTGTTCACCAGTGTTCAGTTAGTTAAGAATTGACCCGTGCAAGAGGGTAGAGACTAAGTGTCTCCTCTGACTAGCACCAGCCCCGTGGGAAACGATTCCTGCTGTGTCTGGTCGCATAGTTTTGTTGTCACACTCGTGGGTTAAACTCCATGGGCCAGATTCACGAAGCAGTTACGCAAGCACTTACGAACGTGAACATCTTTCCTCAATCTTTGCCGGCTTTGTTTACAATTGTTAAACAGTTAATGAGCTCCGAAGCACCAGGAGGCTGTTTATAACAATAACAACAGTTGATTGGGAAGTTTTCGTGCTTCTAAAGTGTTTAATAAATGTAACCAAAGCCGTCAAAGATTGAGGAAAGATGTTCACGTTCGTAAGTACTTGCGTAACTGCTTTGTGAATCTGGCTCCATGTGTAGTAGGAAATAAGTTTATTGAATAAACCTATTATTTGTACCAGTGTCTTAACGTCAACATTTCTCCAGATACTGCCCACGCAACTTATTATACCGTTGCCTGTATAAAGCTGACTGTTGCTACTGGCTCCGGGTATCGACATTCTATCATCTACTAAAACACAAAAACAAAATTTGTGATGTGAGAACCGCTTGTAGTCATTCTCTAGAAGAGCGTTTACACATTAGAGCAAGGCGGCCTTGCGGCCAAGGAGGCCTGGTCGACGACCGGGCCGCGGGGACGCTAAGCCCCGGAAGCACCTCAAGGTAACCTCAAGGTAAGGTAAGGCTGACGGTCAGTGACGGGAGGTACCTGTATGCTGGGGCCAGATTAACGAAAGCACTTACGCAAGCACTTACGAACCTGTACACCTTTTCTCAATCTTTGGCGGCTTTGTTTCCAAATATTAAACAGTTAATGAGCTCCGAAGCACCAGGAGGCTGTTTATAACAAGAACAACAGTTGACTGGGAAGTTGTCATGCTTGTAAACTGTTTAATAAATGTAACCAAAGCCGTCAAAGACTGAGGAAAGATGAACACGTTCGTAAGTGCTTTCGTGAATCTGGCCCCAGGTCTGGAGACTGTTGCTGTGTGACACACTCGTCTCTACCTCAGGCACAGCCAGTCTTTGCGGCTGCTCTCCCATATATTATGTACCTATTGATAACTTGCAGAGCGACCACCATAGGCATGGGCGTTGTTGTATGTAGATGCAGTCATTGCAGAAATGACTGCTGCTACAGTCATTTCTGCAATGACTACAGCCTGTGAAAGCCCCTCACAGATGTTGTTCACGTTATGACAAATTATAATGCAACAAAATACATACAATTCGATGACAGACCATATCAGAGAATATACAGTACACTGTTCGGAGTAATTCAATAATCATGTATACAGTGAATTTTAATTAACCTCAGTAGTGTATGTATATATATATATATATATATATATATATATATATATATATATATATATATATATATATATATATATATATATATATATATATATATATATATATATATCTTATATATCTTATATATGCCCGTTCATTGCTGCCTGTTTACATACAAACTCATTGATGCTGTACTGTTTATATACAAGTCCACGGTGGGCTGAGCGATTTGGATACAAGTCCACGGTGGGCTGAGCGATTTGGATACAAGTCCACGGTGGGCTGAGCGATTTGGATACAAGTCCACGGTGGGCTGAGCGATTTGGATACAAGTCCACGGTGGGCTGCGCTATTTCCATACAAACCTGTGGTGGGGTGCGTTATCTGGCCACCACAGGAGCGTACTGACTAACCAAGAAAGAAACTTGCACCAGAGTCCTGAATGTAGTTCAGGACTTAATTAGACATAGATGATCTTGACTCTTAGATGATATTAGACCTAGGTGATCTTGACTCTTAGATGATATTAGACCTAGATGATCTTGACTCTTAGATGATATTAGACCTAGATGATCTTGACTCTTAGATGATATTAGACCTAGATGATCTTGACTCTTAGATGATATTAGACCTAGATGATCTTGACTCTTAGATGATATTAGACCTAGATGATCTTGACTCTTAGATGATATTAGACCTAGATGATCTTGACTCCAAGGTCCTTTTCTTCACCAATCTTCTGTAATGTAATGTTATTATTTTGTCAGTTGTGACGTGGGTTGCTATGCCCCACGTGCAAGGTCTTGTTGCATTTGTCGATATTAAAAATCATTTGCCAGTTTTCTGACCATTTGTGGAGTTCATGCAGATCTCTTAGTAAGGCTTCACAATCATTATAATTTCCCACTTTACCATAAATATTTATGTCATCTGCAAATTTGATGATGTGTTTTGTAATATTCTCATCTTTGTCGTTTATGTATGTGACAATAAGGGTAGGTTCCAAAATAGGCCCTTGTGGCACCCCACTTGTCACATTTCACCATTCAGATTTATTTATTTATTTTATTTATATATAAACAAGAAGGTACATTGGGATTGTGAGGATACATAGCATAGTAATTACATTCTTGTAAAGCCACTAGTACGCGCAGCGTTTCGGGCAGAAAGATTCGTTTCTATTTAACAAGACTCTTTGCTGTCTTTCCTTCAATCATTATTTTATCCATTCTAATATTTTACCATTTATTCCGTGGGCCTGTAATTTCCTTGCCAGTCTTTCATGTGGTACCTTATCAAAAACTTTAGCAAAATCCATGTATACTACATTCACTGGAAGGCTATTGACTGATAAGCTGGTTACCGTTTACAAAAATGTGAGCAAGATTGTAAGGCAGGATCTGTTTTTAACAAATCCATGTTGTGTCGATTATACAAGGTTGTTCACTGAGAGATTGACAGCTGAGTGGACAGCGCTTCGGATTCGTAGTCCTGAGGTTCCGGGTTCGATCCCCGGTGGAGGCGGAGACAAATGGGTAAAATGTTTATTTCACTCTGATGCCCCTGTTACCTAGCAGTAAATAGGTACCTGGGAGTTAGACAGCTGCTGCAGCCTGCTTCCTGAGGGGTGTAACAAAAAGGAGGCCTGGTCGAGGACCGGGCCGCGGGGACGCTGAACCCCGAAATCATCTCAAGATAAGAAGATGGTGAATGATTTCCTTCCTGAGGATTCTCTCCGTGAGCTTGAGGTGTGTGATGTCAACTGATCTGTTCCCTGCTGAGCTCTTGTGAATATTCCTGTGGCTTATTTTACTTGTTATTATATATTTAAGTTGCATAATTAGCATATTGTTTTACCTGCTGCATTAAATACAGTCAATTAGGCTAGTTACCCCTCGAAGGCTAATTATAGTTATGCATCATTGCGTGTTATACATTACCATTTAGGTAGAATAGTTAATTATAATGTCACTTATTGGAAACCTTATAATTTACTTATTATCTCATTCATTTGTGCCACTTATTTGAATTTAATTTATTAGCTATAATAAATTTATTATAACAAATATATTATTATTATGACATTGTTTATTATAATCTATTAGTATAAAATTGTTATTATTATAATTTATTTATTTATCTACTTAAGTTATATTTATATCTGGCAAATTGTAACCCGTAACCAACATAAATAGACATGTTCAACAAGGCACTTTACCAAGCAGATAATTACCTGTTTACTTATATAATAAAGGTCAGTTGGTTTTGTAATGCGTGATAATTTCAAGAAGAAACATCAACCATCATACGTGACCTTCGCTAAAAAAAAAAAAGGTGTTAATATGGCCGCAAGTTCTCCAGTAAAAATGATGACTTTTCTCACTCCAGATGCAGAGCTGTGCTCGTGCCCAGACATTCTTATTGAACAATGTATACTTAAATGCCATTAACCATTTCCCATCGAGAGTATTATATTAAATTGTGTCAGGAGACTGAAGCCGCATGTTTTGTTTTATATATATATATATATATATATATATATATATATATATATATATATATATATATATATATATATATATATATATATATATATATATATATATATATATATATATATATATATATATATATATATATATATATGCGAACAAGCCTGAATGGTCCCCAGGACTATATGCAACTGAAAACTCACACCCCAGAAGTGACTCGAATCCATACTGCCAGGAGCAACGCAACTGGTATGTAAAGGACGCCTTAATCCGCTTGACCATCACGACCGGACATAAGGAAGTGATAGCCGAAACTATTTGAACCACTTCCCCGCCAGCACTCGGATGGTAATCTTGGGCATAGCATTGTATCAAATCACCTCATTCTTTGGGGCACACGTGAGGAACACAAATCTTCCTTATGTCCGGTCGTGATGGTCAAGTGGATTAAGGCGTCCTGTACATACCAGTTGCGTTGCTCCTGGCAGTATGGGTTCGAGTCACTTCTGGGGTGTGAGTTTTCAGTTATATATATATATATATATATATATATATATATATATATATATATATATATATATATATATATATATATATATATATATATATATTGTATTACAGTGAGATAAAAGATAAAGATAAAATCTGCTGTTTAATATATATTGATGTTAGAAAATTCAACACTTTCTGTAATGTAATGCATTACAAAGTGGCTAACCCGATTTGCTAGTCTCTGGTGAACACTTTATTATAAGATAAAAATACGGTGTTGTATTTGCATGAATATAATGTATATGATTGTGCCTTTGTATGGGAAGGGTGAAGCCGAGACTAAGACGGGAGGGATAAGCAAGAGGGAAGCCTGGGATAGAGGTTATGATGCTGGGATAGGCGGACACATGCCGTCCACCTGACACTCACCTGAAGACGCTCGGTGTCTCCAAGTCTTCTTCCTCCTTGGGCGACGCCGCGTAGCTGACGTTATTGCTGACTATGTGGTTATTGTTGTGGTGGAGGGCGAGGTTTGTGTTGGAGAGTGAGGTAGAGGTGGTGGAGGAAGACGTAGGTCCCCACGGGAGCCGCGAGGGGCCTTCTCCCGCCGATACAATCGGAGGCGCTGAAAGTGGCGGTGCCACCGACCCATTGAGCAACCCCGGAGACCGATCCCCTTCAGGTATCAACAGGTGGGGCAGGCCAGAGTTCCTAACCGGGTATGAGGAAGAGGAGGAAGGGACCTCAAGGGGACAAGAGTCCCGGCGAGCCAGACGCTCAGCGGCCATACTGGACCCATGCACACCTCGTTGCTGAGGGTGCTGGAAGCCGGCGGTAGTGGGGCTGGTGCACTGGACGTCCCTGGAGCTGAGGCCCTTCAGCGTCTGCCACACCGGCAGCACGGGGCCTGCAGCCTCGCCGCCGCTCACCTTCATACCGCTGTCACCGCTGCATTCACGCGGTCGGCCGCACGCCCTCCCCTCGCACACACGCCCCTCACACACGCTGATGGGCGGCGAGTCCTTGCTGGGGTTACCAGGGGACGTCAGCCTGACTCGGGGCGTCTCTCACTTGTTTTCCAAAAGCTGGAAACTTCTCAGTGCTGATCAACAGCTGACAGGCGTCGACTCCAGGCTCGTCTCGCTGCCTGTCACCGGCGGGGACGGCTACCACGCTGACAGACGGTCACTCCTATCTATCCAGATCTTAAGATCACTAATTTTCAATACTAGCTTCAGGATCTAATGACAGCTTCACGGCACACACGTGGCGGCGGCGAAGGTGACACTGGGTCATCATACGAGCTTCTCACACTTGAAGTCACTCGCAACACAAGAACAGACTCAACACTCGTCCGCAACAATCAGATCAGCTGCTTGCGAGACAGTAACGCTGACCGAGAGTAGCAGAACCTGGGGCGCAACACTTACTGGCGGCGTATTTGTGCAACACTTGTGCTTCAGGAACGGCACTCCCTTGATGGTGATCTGGCGCAACTCTCAGGTCATGTTTACAACACAAGGTCACAGCGAACACACGGAAAACTTAGGTCACATTTCACAGTCATGAAAGGTCACGGTTACAACACTCAAGTCACGGGGGGGGAAGACGCAACACCCAGGACGCACTCGACGATCATAACAGGTGTCGGTTGCAGCGCTCAGCTTACAAGGCGTACAAGTGTAACACTTAGATCACGATATACGGCCGCAATACACGTGTAGGGAGCGACGCTCAGCCTTGTGAGCCGGTCCCAAGATCACACCACACTGCCATGCCCAGACACTGCCACCCGCGCCACGCACGCACGCACGCACACACGCATGCACGCCCGCGCGCACACACAACACACACCACACACACACACACACACAACACACACACACACACACACACACACACACACACACACACACACACACACACACACACACACACACACACACACACACACACACACACACACACACACACACACACACACACACACACACAAGACGAAGCTGAAAAAAAGTTCAGAGGTATGCCACTGGTTGATACCTGGTTGATGGGGTTCTGGGAGTTCTTCTACTCCCTAAGCCCGGCCCGAGGCCAGGCTTGACTTGTGAGAGTTTGGTCCACCTGGCTGTTGCTTGGAGCGGCCCGCAGGCCCACATACCCACTACAGCCCGGCTGGTCCGGCACTCCTTGAAGGAAACAATCTAGTTTCCTCTTGAAGATATCCACGGTTGTTCCTGTAATATTTCTGATGCTCGCTGGGAGGGTGTTGAACAACCGTGGACCTCTGATGTTCATACAGTGTTCTCTGATTGTGCCTATGGCACCTCTGCTCTTCACTTGTTCTATTCTGCATTTTCTTCCATGTCGTTCACTCCAGTACGTTGTTATTTTACTGTGCAGATTTGGGACCTGTCCCTCCAGTATTTTCCATGTGTATATTATTTGGTACCTCTCTCGTCTCCTTTCTAGACTAGTCCCAGAACTAAGAGGCATGAGTTACGAAGAAAGGCTGCGGGAAATGCACCTTACGACACTGGAAGACAGAAGAGTAAGGGGAGACATGATCACTACCTACAAAATCCTCAGGGGAATTGACAGGGTAGACAAGAATAAACTATTCAACACGGGTGGTACGCGAACAAGGGGACACAGGTGGAAACTGAGTACCCAAATGAGCCACAGGGACGTTAGAAAGAACTTTTTCAGTGTCAGAGTAGTTAGCAGGTTTCAAATGTAGATATGATAGAGCCCAGCAGGCTCAGGAATCTGGACATCAGGTGATTGACGGTTGAAAGGCGGGACCAAAGAGCCAAAGCTCAACCCCCGCAAGCACAACTAGGTGAGTAAACACACGCACACACACACAAGGGGCCTGATAGCTGAGTGGACAGCGCTTTATACTCGTAAGTCCGGGTTCGATCCCCGGTGATGGCAGAAAAAATGGGTTGAGTGGCAGACTGGGGAGAGAGTCGCCTGGACAGGGAGCGGGGGGGGGGGGGGTCACCTGGGCTAAGGGCCGCCTGGTGAGCATAACACGTGCGGTAATGAACCGAAACTCTTGCATTACTGATAACCTCACCATACTCCTGACTACTGCTGCGCCCCACCACGACACACCACGCCAGCACCAACGCCTATATGTGAGCCTGAAGGCTTGTACGCCCATGCATCTCATCCCATGTTGGAATCCCATTAGATGAGAAAGGTGATGAAACTGCTAAATATGCAACTCATCATCCAGTGATCCACAAAACACTTCAACCCAGCCTAAAGTACATAAAACACACCAGCACCAACACACACTTCACGGGAGACATCTCCCGTCACGCAGGGTGCAGTCGCATCTCCACAGATCTCCAGTATCATCTATTGATACTGGTAATGGCTCAAAAGGGCCACCACTTACGGGCTATTCATGCCCGTGCCACCTTTGGGTGGCTTTATCTTCATCAATCAATTTGTGCGCCTCCCGCAGTACAGCCCCCGCTCCTGTGCCAGGTATGTCCACTACGGGTTCACCATAGCCCGTGCTACTTGCCCCGCTCCTGTGCCAGGTATGTCCACTACCGGCTCACCATAGCCCGTGCTACTTGCCCCGCTCCTGTGCCAGGTATGTCCACTACGGGCTCACCATAGCCCGTGCTACTTGCCCCGCTCCTGTGCCAGGTAAGTCCACTACGGGCTCACCATAGCCCGTGCTACTTGCCCCGCTCCTGTGCCAGGTATGTCCACTACGGGCTCACCATAGCCCGTGCTACTTGCCCCCGCTCCTGTGCCAGGTAAGTCCACTACGGGCTCACCATAGCCCGTGCTACTTGCCCCCGCTCCTGTGCCAGGTAAGTCCACTACGGGCACACCATAGCCCGTGCTACTTGCCCCGCTCCTGTGCCAGGTATGTCCACTACGGGCTCACCATAGCGCGTGCTACTTGCCCCGCTCCTGTGCCAGGTATGTCCACTACCGGCTCACCATAGCCCGTGCTACTTGCCCCGCTCCTGTGCCAGGTAAGTCCACTACGGGCTCACCATAGCCCGTGCTATTTGGAACATTTGTTCCCAGTAGCTGAATGTTAAACAACAGCTTGTGCGCCAGCCCGAAGGCTTGTAAGCAGCCCAACGCGTATATGCCAACCTCGACGCTTCAATTTATCCTCCTCTTTAGATAGTAGTTTTTGTAAATATGTGCAACATAGTACAAAGATTGACGCACTAAGCAAACAGTAGAATTTGGCACTATTCACTTTATAGTCCCAAGAACTGAGGATAAAAAACAAACTTAAATATTCCTAAGCCTAGTATAGCACACATATGTACTTTGTTAGGCCTCACTTATCGTGTATTAGGCCTAGGATGATTAGTTTAGTTTGTCTTTGCAACATAAATAGAAAATCTGTTCCAGTTTGTTCAAAATAATACCAATTTCTACTTTCTAAATTGCGTTGTACGTCGGCATATGTACTATGGTCCTCATCGTTACTATAAGTACCACCAAACCTGGAGGCTGGGCCGGAGCACTTATGTGTCAACCGCATGGCTAATAAGCCAATCTGAAGGCGTTTATGCTAGCCGTAACCTTATACGCCAGCCTGGTGTATAAGGTATGTTCGTGCCTTCTTTTGATAATTACTTACTTACGCCTGCAGCAAATTTAGAAAACGACAACATAATTGAATCTCTTATTTTCATCAGTTGGTGCTAACCTAGCCAAAAAATTCCCACAGACCCAGACACGTGTTTCTACATATCTTAAAGGCAGCTATCCAAACACTCTTCTCCTTTCATCAGTCAGCCCGACAGATGTTATGTCTATCATTCACTCACTAAAAACCAAAGCTGGGAACATAAGTGAAATACCATCTATGGTATACAAGAGTGCCTCCCATGCCCTTGCACCACCCATAGCTCTGCTATTCAGCAAATCTCTAGTATCATACATTCCCTGATATCTTTAAAAAAAAAACACTATTAACGCCAGTTCATAAAGGAGGCGATACGACAGACATAAACAATTACAGACCAACATCAAATCTACCTATATTATCAAATATTTGAACAAAAAATATTTATAAACAGCTCTACTTCTATCTCATAAAATTCAACATACTAAGTCTCTGTCAGTTTGGCTTCCGCTCCCAAAAGAGTGCCAACGATGCAATTATTAGTCTGCTTGATATCATTTACACAGTCCTTGCCAAAATGAGTTCCCCAATGGGACTCTTCATTGACCTGAGAAAGGCATTTGATACAGTTAACCATAACCGCCTCTTACTTAAACTTCACCATTATGGAATCCGAGGCCTTGCCCTGAACTATATTCGATCTTATTTTAGTGACAGACACCAATATGTAGTCATCAATGATATATCCTCCCCCCCACTCTACTATTAACCGTACGTAGGAGTGCCGCAGAGCAGCATCCTAGGGCCTCTCCTATTTCTTATATACATAAATGATCTGCCTAATGTCTCTAACATTCTTAAACCTATACTATTTGCTGAAGATACTACCTTCATCTACTCAGACCCCAACCGACATACACTAAATAATGTTGTAAATAACAAATTAATAAAAGTCCATCTATGGATGGCAACCAACAAACTCACACTAAACCTAGAAAAGACCAACTACATATTATTTGGAAGCAAATCAACAAATGCAATTCAGCTTCAGATAGACATCAGCAATAAAAAGGATGGAAAGTTCCTTGGCCTTCCATAGACAAGAGACTCAACTTCAGCACCCGCATACAACACATTACTAAAAAAGACTCAAAAACGGTCAGTATACTTTCTAAAATCAGATATTATGTTCCAAACTCTGATCTCCTCTCATTATACTATGCGCTAATCTGTCCCCATCTGACATACGGTGTCTGTACATGGGGTTCAGTCACAGTAAACTACCTCAAGCCCATCATCACCCAGCAATAATCTGCTATCAGAACAATAACAAACTCTGCTTTCAGACAACACTCAGCCCTCTGTTTAAATTACTCAACATGCTAAACATAAACTCACTCCACCCATTCTCTTGTGCCATTTACATATACAAAACCTTGTTCCTAGATGCAAACCCTGATCTGAAACTTTTCCTTGACAGATGTAACAGAACTCATAATCACCACACCGGAAATAAATATCTTTGATATCCCCAGAGTTAGTTTAGTTCATTTTATTATGCACCCCATATCCATCTTGTGGGCGGTAGTGGAAAGGGTTACAGAGGCACATAATGGGCTCAGGGACTGAACCCCATAATTCATTTAGCAAAGCAAGTTACAATCTTATTGACTTAGTTACAAAATTCAACATACATCGTCACATCAACAATGGGTTCGAGATCGACCACAAGTACGGTTTCTAAATTAAGCAACTGACATATGTGGAGAACTAGTGTCACAATTGATATGTTTGTCCTACACACCGCCCCATATCCAGTGGGCAGCAGTGGATAGGTTACAATCACTTAGCTACTATCTACAGTAAGCAAACTAGAGATATTTGGCTAACATTTCTTGTAGCAGATTATTTTGAATTAAATATTTACACATCTTTGGAACATTTGTTGATGTTTGGAACATTTGTTGATGAACATCTGCTGATGTAGATTTGACTAAATGTAAACTCTGTCAGCAGAACTATTCGCATACTTTGTGTCATTATATAATGGAATGTGAAAAAATAGCGGAATTTAGAGATAACACCATCAATAGTGTCCAAGAAATGTGGAAGTACTTCGTTCATAATGATGTGCTGCCCGAAATCTTAGCAAAGTACCTAAAATTTGCTTACTGTAGGTAATGCATGCACATGACTGTAAAGCTGCCGCCCAGTTGGGTGGGTGTGGAGCAAGACAAGTAACTGTGTGACTCACCATAGATGTAAAGTGCCTTGTATAGTGACTGTTGTGAGCCTCTTGTTGATCACTTGTGACATAAAAGATTATTGATGTGTGTACTTGTGTGGGTGATTAAATATGTATTTGTATGTATATATGTATACGTATATATATATGTACTTGTATGTATGTGAATGTGTACATGTGTATACAACATTAATAATTTTGTAACTAGCGTCAAAAATTTTTATTTGCTTAGCTAAATGAACTAGAGGGTTCAGTTCCTGAACCGATTATGTGCCTCTGTAATCCTTTACACCACCGCCCACGGAATGGGTATGGGGTGCATAATAAAGAAAAAATTGAAAAGGAGGAGGATCTTAACATTTCCAAGGTAGGGAGTTTAGGTAGGCTTGAGGCAAATCTGCTACGCATAACCATCGATACCTTACCCGCATAGTAAGATATCGCAAATCTCGAACACAAAAGGAAGATACTCGGCTAAAAGATTTAGGAGGGCATGACCAAGGTTACATCTCCCCAGACCTAACAGTAAAACAAGAATATAATGACAAAGTACTAAGACACAAACTAAGAAAGTTAAGAAATATAATGTACTCTCATAAACCTAATGTACCTTCTTGTATATAAATAAATAAATAGATGGTGGCCCTCAGGTTAATTGAGGTAAATCTCTCTAGTATACCAGCGGCCCGTGAGCTATTTTCCAGATATTGTTACTAGGCGTTTTAAGCATTTTTGTAAAACTTATTTACGCAAAAGAATATTATTATTGAGCATACTATTTCTATAAATATTTTAAACTCAATGTAAATCATAAAATGGGCAAAACTTGTACCATTCCTCTCACCCGGATATTTATGGCGTTCACTTAACGTCTAAACACGATTGCAAAAATGTCAACAAATAACGGTAGCTATCTTCGCCAACATCGTATATTTAACAGACAAATACACCATTGAGCCGTGATGATGCACCCATTAAGCCCCCGAGAATACAGACTAGAGCCTTGCCTAATATGTACCTACACCCAATATATAAAATATCAGCCGTCGGCCCTGGAAAAAAGTTCTTGTTTTGGCGGGTTTCAAGCTTTAGTACAATTTTCCACCTAGTTCCTCCCTCATAACTTTTGCACCTTAAGGGAAACATAACCCCCCCAAGGGGCTTCTCAAGTCATGTTTCATGGTATTAGGGCTGCTTTGTGGTCTCTTCCCAGTATGAGGGTCTCTGGGTTTAGCTCTGGTGCCCAGGACCATATTGTAGTTATGCTCGACAAATCTAACAATATGTGATGGTGCTCCCTTATGGAATAGTAATTTGTATTACATTTAACGATGGAGTTTAGTGAACAATTGTCTCTGAAAACATTCACATATATTTTAATGAGGGATATCTCTAATGATAAAAATATCTAGGACATTGATGGCATACCTGGAGAGAGGGTCTTGGGAGTTCTACTACCCAAGCCTGGCCTCTGGTCAGACAGTGTTTATTTGTAAAGAAATGTGTGATTATAAGTTTATAGGTTTTTAATGTAATTTTGCTAAAACAAAGCTTGTAGAATGAAATCTATTTTAACTCTAATTTTGGAGAGTGGAACAGATAGGCAACATTCTCATTCCAATTAGCCACACTTGTATACTTTAAGGACATGTTAGGCTTAACAAAGCTAGGCTAGGTTAGGTTAGGTTTATATAGATAATTTTGGTTAGGCTAGGTTTGGTGAGATATTTTAGGTTAGGTTAGTATGATTTTTTGTATAAAGACCACTATAAAACTATAAGATTTTTTGGAGGGAGCCTCTTCGGCTCCCCGGAGCTATCCAGGCTGATATGGATATATTAGACTTCGGCATCAGTCAATGTAATTGGAGTTCTAGGCCAATTCTAGGCTTGGGGACCACTAGCCAGGTCACGAGCCAGGTTTTCTTGCTCAGTCTATTGTAACACTACACATGGGCCTCAGATTTTTCCAGGTACCTGATATCTGAGGGGACTTGGTGGTGCCCTGCTAGGCCCCTGTGAGTGGACACATCCCAGGGGTTCAGCTTTTAGCAGTTTTCTTGGTAAACTGGGGTGCCGGTTAGCAGTACCCTGCCTGGGCTTTCCTTAGTGTGTTTTCCTTCTAAGGGCCCTGGGAAACCCTGTGGGGATACTTGGGTCCGATGGATATGTTCCCTGGGACCCCTCTTGCCTTGTACGAGTTTGAAGGTTGCTCTGTCTCCTTGTCTCAGGGTGACATTCACCGCTTCTGCCTCCGTCATGCTGCCTGCTAGGTCAGTGATACCTTCAACCCAGAGTCCTGCTAGTTTTGTTGCTTGTTTGTGACACAGTACACCCAATCCACTGATGACTCTGTTTGGGTTCAGGCAGCTCAGGCATTGCATGCTAGGTTTAGATTACTGCAATGCGCTAGATTGGTTGTTGACCCAGAAGCCCTGAGGCTGCTCCATTTTGGTTATAGGGAACTGGACTAGGGGGATGTTGGTTGCTTCGACCTTGGTTCAGTCTGTGCCCTCTTGTCCTTTCCCTGCTGTAGTCCGTTCTGGTCCTTCCACCCCTGCTTCTGGCTCCGAAGCATCTGAGGGTTTTGGACTCGGGGCAGGGTTTAGTTGGGTTGGAGACTTGGGCAGTCTCGGGGGATGTCCCTTCTGGGGTGGTGACGGAGGGATTCGAGCTTGTTCCTCCTGCCGAAGCGTATGGGTTTGACCAGTGGGGCCCCTTCCTTCCTGCTTTTACAGCTTCCCCGGCTTTTTTTTGTGAGGCCGGGGGATGGCTCGGCTCTGGATCCTGCTGTGGAGGTTCCCAGGGTAAGGGAGGGGCTGACTTGGGAATCTTGGGCCCGTTGGACCCTGCTTGGGGTTTTGTGCCCTCTGAGCGGGGTTTACTGTTACAGGGGATTGGTTTCTCTTCCCCCACATCTCGTATGAATTGGATTTGGTGTCAGCCCCTCTCCGGGTTCAGTTTTGTGTACCTTTGGTCCCGTCCTTCTGGAGGTTTTCAGCTTCCTGTTTCCCGCCTCATGAGGTGCGGGAAGCCATTGTGGCTTACCATTGTAACTACACTTAGGTAATGAAATTACATGAAACCTTTTCCATATGGGTTATTCCTTGCTTTCTGTTGCCCTGAGTCATATTCTAAACTACTTACTAACATTTGTTTTTGAATGAGTAGCAGTTACAGTAATGCTATCAAAATGTGCAGGGTAGGGCTGCATTAGTTACAGTTTGTTTATTATATAAATCATACCTTCACATTTGAGGGATTATGTGTAACTCATATTTAGTAACAACAGAAAACCTTACCCTAGCCTTAATGAACTCTACTTTTATTCCATCGTTTAGTTAGCTGGTCTTGACAGGACTTTAGTGTTGGGCATTAAAAGAATTAACTTTAAGAGTGTTGTTATCACCACCACAAAAGATTAAGCCTCGTGATCTACCAGCAAAGAATACATAAACTCTGAATACAGTTTTTTACCTAATTAAACTCTTAGTGTATACCAAATACCAAGAAGCTGAATACACTGAAATAATAATAATAATAATAATAGTAATAATAATTTATTTAGGAACAGTACATACATAGTTGCAGCGTTACAGTACAAACATTCTGTTAGATTTAAAGATAGAGGTAGTACATACAATACCTAAAGCCACTAGTACGCATAGCGTTTCGGGCAAGGTCGGGCAAGAAATCATTTCCCTTCCATCCATACTTGTAATATGTATCACTTGGATTGGCAAATGATCATTCTCTATATCTTTTTCCAGCATTAGATGATTCCATACAAATTCTAGAGGAGGTGCATGTGGCACAACCACTAGATGGAAATGTGAGCATTGAACTAGAAGTACTGTATGATGCTCATGGACAGCAAGTTATGCACGTAAGTACTGCTTTTTTAATATTGCACGTTTATTGTATCATGCCACGAAGGAAAAGGCGACAAGATATTCCTTAAATACTTTTGTATTAATCAATACGTCTTCAATATCCTTCTGAAGATGAGTAATATGAATAATACTTATTGATTAATATGAAAGTACTGTACTTTAGGAATTTCCTGTCTTATTTTCCTTCATGGTCAGACATTGTCTCATTATTCATCATGTGTTAATTTCTTTGTGATTTACACACACTTATTGTATCTTATATATTTTAGTACCCTTTAATTGTGCTAATTAGGATCTTCCATCTGGCTTTAATTGTGGTCTCAAAATCTTTCTCATTTCCTTCAAATGTGAAAGTGCAATTGCTTATAACTCTTCGGAGCAATAAAATATATGGGTTGGCCTATATTAATACCTGAGGTTTAAACCATCTCATTTTCATTTCTTGCTCAGTATTGTAACACTAAACATTGGGTCTCAGATTTTTCCTGCTCTACTTCTTCAATTATTTTACTGGTACAGTATTTATTTTTCATATTTGTGCCATGCCAGCATCTCATATATGGCAGCATCTCTTTCTATCTTGTTCTTTCTTACCAGTGCTTTCATTGAATCATTTACATTTCTTTCGGACTCACAACCATCAACTCGTGTTTCACAAATTCCAGTTTTATCAAGTACCTCATCGCAATGTCTATGATAAAAGTACTGTAAATGAAATGTCAAATTTTATATCTGCTGATGATGCAGTCTTCTAGCTCAGAATGATAAAGGATTATGTAGATGTGTATGAGAAAAGTGCTAAAAGTTAATGAGGATAAAAGTAAAGTTAGGGTGATGGAGATAATAAAGAAACACTGAAACTAGTTTTATTGAAGTGCTACAATTGGTTGCTCATTTTAAATACTGTACTTATAATGTGTGATTGGCAAAAGAGGGCATTTTGCTAGTTTAAGGTTAGGTCAGAGTGAATTGGGAAAAAGAAGTGGCATGGATAATAATATCCCCACTTAGGAATAATGTTATTGGAAGTGATATTGCAAGAGGACTACTGTATATGGAAGAGTGTAGTGTTCTTGTGATGACCAAACTGCACATCAGAAAATGAAGAAACAATAATGTATTGGTCCTTCCTGGACCATTATCAAGTCTATCATACGATTTGGTAATGGTTTAGGACAGACCGAAATGTTTTTTTTTTTCTTTTTCTGACGTGTGGTTTGGTGATCTTATCTTCAGGCACGTTATTTTAACTCATTGTCTGTATAGTGCTCATATGCACAAATGAGATACTGCTGAGGCATGAGCAGTGCATTTAAGGGTGATGCTCAAAAGAGATTAAAAAAAATAAAAAATTATTTAAATGTTAAAAAAGCTCTGAGGTATGGCAACAGTTTGAGCAAACCTGTCTTTTTTATGTTATTAATCACATTTTTGAGGGAGTTATGTATGTATGTATGTATGTATGTATGTATGTATGTATGTATGTATGTATGTATGTATGTATGTATGTATGTATGTATGTAAGGAGCATCTCTTTGACTTTTATGTGTAATCTGCAGCCTGAGACACAACAGATGGCTTCACAAGAGCAGCAGCAGCAATCTCAACAACAGTCACGTCTTCCCCTACGCCAGCCACCACTACGACCCCAACGCCAACGACGACCTGTACAACAGTACCACCAACAGCAACAAGAGCAGGAGCAACAAGCAGCTCAGTTAAGGCAACAACGTCAGCAGCAGCGTCAACAACAGTTAAAACAGCAACAGCAGCAAAGAGCACAACAGCGTCAGGCACAGCAGCAACAGCAGAAACAGCAAGTTCAACAGAGAGGTATCAAAAGGAAAGAAAATGATGTACATGTGGTGGGTGAAGTTAAAGTACAGAAAACAGGACGTGGAGAGGTTGGGGGTGCTGGGACATTGAAGTATCGTAAAAGGGTGAGAGTCCTTTATTGTTTCTGTTACAGTATATAAAAATCCCCTGTTTTCACATAAAGAGGAATTCTAATACCTGGATAATAATTTAATGACAACCAAATTTCTTCATAGATGTTAATTCTGAAACTTGAAAAAGTGGCACATGAAACTGTTTAATAAAAGTTAATTCTGGATTTCTGATACCTCATGAGTTTATATTTCAACAAAATTGCCATTGTGATTGTAACCTAAATTAATATTATATGATAAATTAAATTTTAATTTAATTATTATTAAATTAAATTGTCATTAAATTTTAAAACTTTCTTCATAATTTTTTTTTAATCTTTTTCATTTCAACATTAAATTATTAAAATTTTTCCTTGAAACATTTTATCATTTTTTTTATTAGATGATACCTTTAGCTTAATATTAATATTGATATTCATAAGGAAATCACACTAACATGATACATCAATTAGAAAGTCAATTGATGCATTGAGGGGATTTGAACTTGGGAGTACCCAAGTCAAGGGTTCAAATTCCCTCATTGATATATATCACATTAGTGTGATTTCCTTGTGTATTTGAAGCTGGAGCATATGGTGGAAGAACTCCATTACCTATACCTGAGTGCATGTGGGGTTATATGTAAAACCTAGACTGGTTTCAGTATGGGCCTCCAGACATCCTGTCGATTCAGTGAAATCCCTGATTGTATAACTTTTAACATGTCATGGTCCAGAGATAAGGTGTGTGGCTTGGAGTACCCAAGTTGAGTGTTCGAATCCCCTCATTGCTCCAATTGATTTTCTCAATACAGTATTTATATTAATATATATAAATTGTATTGTTAACTGATAAAAACTGTGATATTATTATTTAACCAACAGATCCCTGACAATGATGTAGAGATTATATTTGAATGGACTCCAGCCAAGGTTATTGCTGAGCGACAAAATGTTGAAGAATGGGTGGCACATAATGTGATCACTATGTTTGACCAAGAAAATACACTACCCTTCATAGCTCGCTATCGTAAGGAGAAAACTGGAAATATGGAAGTGGAAAAGCTTCGTGAAATCCAGAATTCCTACTCACAATTAAAGTATGTGTTATTTAATAAATATTTTGATTGTATTATTAGAGAATTTACAAAGCTGGGTTCCCATGTACTGTAACTTCTTGAAAATCTAGGTGATAGCTTCCATGATTCTTACTGTGTGAGGAATTGTAAAAAAATGAAGATAGATTATGTTTATTAAAGCTGAAAGATAAAAAAACAAATGATGAATGTGTGAGGACATTAAATTTATGAAACATAACAATATATGAGAGCTACAATTTTGTTCTATGTCTAAAGAAGGCAGTTATTAATGTACAATATTGTTCTTTTAAATACAAGCACTGCTTTTAGTTACAATCCTTATTTGCCTGGTTTTGTTATTTTCTATGTACAGTACTCTAATAAAAGGTTAATTAATTTGGGTTAGAGGACCCATTTTCCCAAGTGTAGAATCCACTTGAAATCTACACCCCACAAGGAGTAGAAGTGACCTTGGATTTAGGGCTCGAGCCTAGCAGGCTTCTTCCCCACCTCATGAAAAGATGAAATGAGGTATGGCAATGTTGATGGAATGAGTGGATGAAGCATTTTCTTTAATTTTACTCCCACTTATGTTTAACAAGTTTTGGATGGAATTTGTTCAATCTTTGCACTGAAATATGAAGAGATTAACATTATGATGATGTTATAAATTAACTCGGCATATGTTTCCTTCTTTCAGGTACTGGAAATATATAATGCATATGATGAACATAATTTATTATAATTTAGTGTTTTTATATTTCCTTATTTTTCCCTGCCTCTTTCCTCCCAACAACACCAACAGCAGCTACCTTAGCATCAATCTCAGCTTGAGATTGTATCTGTCTCTGCAGATCTTGGATACTTTCTTTGAACAGTAAGCAATGATACATTATTCTAGAACTTGGCCTCCAACTAGAATTCTAACAAATAATTCCTTCATATTCATTTGCTGTCCTTGAACTTCTAAGGAAAATTGTCATTATATTCAAGTCATTTAATGTATAAATATCCTGTTTTCCTTTTAAGACATGTACAAGAACGAGTCGTGAAGATTTTAAAGGGTGATCGCAAGAAGCTGCCAGAGGATCGCAAAGCCTCCCTTCTTCGTGCCACTACTATGCATGAAGTGGAACATTTGGTTGGTTTCCATTTGAAGAATATTTTAAATTTTTTTGTTTTAAATTTTTTTAATTTTTTAATTTTCCAGCATTGTTTATACAGAGCACCACTTGGTTTCCGAACCCCTTGGGGACGAGACCCGTCGGTTAACATGTAAGTTCGTATACGAGAAATAGAGGGGAAAAAATAAACTAGAAATGTAAAAAGAAATTGTTCTGAAAAATTTACGAAAAAACTCTAGGGGAAAACATCGACAGGTTCATAGCGTAAATGCGACCGTGTTTTGTTTGTACTCACCAATAAGTGAAGTCCTGGTCCGCTTTATAAAAGTCCTTAATTGTTCCTAACTGATTATTAAGACGACTGGCAAACATCCTCTAGATGTTTCCTGCCAGCCTGCAGGAACATCCTGCCAGCCTGCAGGAACATCCTGCCAGCCTGCAGGAACATCCTGCCAGCCTTCCTGCCAGCTTGCCTGCCTGCCAGCCTGCCTGCCTGCCAGCCTGCCTGCCAGCTTGCCTGCCTGCCAGCCTGCCTGCCAGCCTGCCTGCCAGCTTGCCTGCCAGCCTGCAGGCACATCCTGCCAGCCTGCAGGCACATCCTGCCAGCCTGCAGGCACATCCTGCCAGCCTGCAGGCACATCCTGCCAGCCTGCCTGCAGGAACATCCTGCCAGCCTGCCTGCCAGCTTGCCTGCCAGCCTGCAGGCACATCCTGCCTAAAATATACGATGATGTACTGTACATTTAAGAAACAAATCTGGGTCACAGGTCTGTGGAGTGTGGTTAGGCTTACGGAGTCAGCCGTCCCTCCCCCACCACCGACACACCTCCCCCTCTCCCCCCACCCCAAACCCATACACACACACTCTCAAAGGTCACGTGGTTCATGGTTCACTTCAACACCCATATATCGCTTCCTGCCTGCCTGCCTGCCTCCTTCCCAGCCTGCAAGCCTGCCTGCCTCCTTCCCAGCCTGCAAGCCTGCCTGCCTGCCTGCCTCCTTCCCAGCCTGCAAGCCTGCCTGCCTGCCTGCCTCCTTCCCAGCCTGCAAGCCTGCCTGCCTGCCTGCCTCCTTCCCAGCCTGCATGCTTGCCTGCCTCCTTCCCAGCCTGCAAGCCTGCCTGCCTGCCTCCTTCCCAGCCTGCCTGCCTGCCTGCATGCCTGCCTGCCTCCTTCCCAGCCTGCAAGCCTGCCTGCCTGCCTCCTTCCCAGCCTGCCTGCCTGCCTCCTTCCCAGCCTGCAAGCCTGCCTGCCTGCCTGCCTCCTTCCCAGCCTGCAAGCCTGCCTGCCTGCCTGCCTCCTTCCCAGCCTGCAAGCCTGCCTGCCTCCTTCCCAGCCTGCAAGCCTGCCTGCCTGCCTCCTTCCCAGCCTGCAAGCCTGCCTGCCTGCCTCCTTCCCAGCCTGCAAGCCTGCCTGCCTGCCTGCTTCCTTCCCAGCCTGCAAGCCTGCCTGCCTGCCTCCTTCCCAGCCTGCAAGCCTGCCTGCCTGCCTGCCTCCTCCCCAGCCTGCAAGCTTGCCTGCCTGCCTGCCTCCTTCCCAGCCTGCAAGCCTGCCTGCCTGCCTGCCTCCTTCCCAGCCTGCAAGCCTGCCTGCCTGCCTGCCTCCTTCCCAGCCTGCAAGCCTGCCTGCCTGCCTGCCTCCTTCCCAGCCTGCCTGCCTGCCTCCTTCCCAGCCTGCAAGCCTGCCTGCCTCCTTCCCAGCCTGCAAGCCTGCCTGCCTCCTTCCCAGCCTGCAATCCTGCCTGCCAGCCTGCCTCCTTCCCAGCCTGCAAGCCTGCCTGCCTGCCTGCCTCCTTCCCAGCCTGCAAGCCTGCCTGCCTGCCTGCCTCCTTCCCAGCCTGCAAGCCTGCCTGCCTGCCTGCCTCCTTCCCAGCCTGCCTGCCTGCCTCCTTCCCAGCCTGCAAGCCTGCCTGCCTGCCTGCCTCCTTCCCAGCCTGCCTGCCTGCCTCCTTCCCAGCCTGCAAGCCTGCCTGCCTCCTTCCCAGCCTGCAAGCCTGCCTGCCTGCCTGCCTCCTTCCCAGCCTGCAATCCTGCCTGCCAGCCTGCCTCCTTCCCAGCCTGCAAGCCTGCCTGCCTGCCTGCCTCCTTCCCAGCCTGCAAGCCTGCCTGCCTGCCTGCCTCCCTCCCAGCCTGCAAGCCTGCCTGCCTGCCTGCCTCCTTCCCAGCCTGCAAGCCTACCTGCCTGCCTGCCTCCTTCCCAGCCTGCAAGCCTGCCTGCCTGCCTCCTTCCCAGCCTGCAAGCCTGCCTGCCTCCTTCCCAGCCTGCAAGCCTGCCTGCCTGCCTCCTTCCCAGCCTGCAAGCCTGCCTGCCTCCTTCCCAGCCTGCAAGCCTGCCTGCCTGCCTGCCTGCCTGCCTGCCTCCTCCCCAGCCTGCAAGCCTGCCTGCCTGCCTGCCTCCTTCCCAGCCTGCAAGCCTGCCTGCCTGCCTGCCTGCCTCCTTCCCAGCCTGCAAGCCTGCCTGCCTGCCTGCCTCCTTCCCAGCCTGCAAGCCTGCCTGCCTCCTTCCCAGCCTGCAAGCCTGCCTGCCTCCTTCCCAGCCTGCAAGCCTGCCTGCCTGCCTCCTTCCCAGCCTGCAAGCCTGCCTGCCTGCCTGCCTCCTTCCCAGCCTGCAAGCCTGCCTGCCTGCTTGCCTGCCTCCTTCCCAGCCTGCAAGCCTGCCTGCCTGCTTGCCTGCCTCCTTCCCAGCCTGCAAGCCTGCCTGCCTGCTTGCCTGCCTCCTTCCCAGCCTGCAAGCCTGCCTGCCTCCTTCCCAGCCTGCCAGCCTGCCTGCAAGCTAGCCTGCCTGCCTGCCTGTGCCTGCCTGCCTGCCTTTCCCTCCCTAATTCTCACTACTTCCGTCCCTTCCTGCCTACCTCCTAGCATCTCTCCCTACCTCCCCCTCCCTCTTAGCATCTCTCCCTCCCTCCTAGCATCTCTCTCTCCCTCCCACTCCCTTCTAGCATCTCTCTCTCCCTCCCACTCCCTCCTAGCATCTCTCTCTCCCTCCCTCCCTTTCTGACTAATTCTCTCCCCCTCTCTCATACTGCCTCCCACCTAAGCTCCCTCATCCATCCACCCACTGGTCAGCCATCACTGACGCAATGCGTGCATTTGGAGCCGACATGGTGCACAGATGTTTCTTGATTGTGCAGATATGTAAAACAAAAGCACAGAATGAACATTCCAGCCTTATGGCAATTCAAAATAATAGGAATAATAGGCCGTGAATCTGTGAAGTCACAGTGGGCAAACTGGACCATCTCCCACCCACCACCACAAGCCGGCGTGACGCTTGGCGGACCCCTTCCTACCCGAACTTTGTTCGGGTAGCATGACTCCCCAACCCCAATCGGGAAACTGGAAGTTTCGGATAACTAAAGTTCGGAAACCAAGTGGTGCTCTGTATTTTTAAACGATAATGATATACAGTACTGTTCTTTTATAGCTTTTGTAATTTGAGCGCTGGTAAATTGTTATATTTGTTTAAATTTATTTGGTTTTTAATTATTGAATTTGAGTCTCGAGCAACTTTCTGGCAAAGATAGTAATATCTTCTTACGGTAAACTCAAAACTCTTTCACTTTATTTTAAGGAAGGACCACTGGGAATGTAATGCAATTTTTCTTGGGTTTTTAGACTGCAGCCTATAAGGGTAGTGGAAAACGCACTTATGCTGAACGAGCACGAGAGCTTGGATTGGAACCTGCAGCTTTAGAAGTCATGCAAGGAACACACAACAAGTTTGTAAGTAGAGTACAGTACCTAAGAGCATAGATGCCTTCACAACACCATTGTCAAGTTTCAAAGTTGTATGTTAAATTTTTGTATTATTTAATTGTAAACTGAATGAAATACTTATTTTGGATTTTATTATTTTATGATTTATCATAAATAATGTGAATGGATTAAGAAGTCAGTTTTTTATGGGAGGAACCCCTCAGTAGCTCCCAGATTTTTGCTCTGGTACGAACAAGCCTTAATCAAACACATTAGGATTCTGAGGCGGGGCAGCCTCTTCTCCTGCGCTCTGTCAGGTCATCTCGGAGTGGATACACTTGGGCATGGTCGAAACAACGACGTCCCTTAGATGGGTTTCCTGTCTGTTCCCAGTCCCAAAACTGGGAACAGACTCACTGAGAACACTGCTTCCCAGTGAGGCACGTGTTCACACGCCTCACCTGGGTCGTGTGGCCCATCTCCATCTGTTTGGGGCTTGGGTGCTGGAATACCTTGTTGCCTGGCTGGTGTTGGCTCCCAGCCAGTATGCGTGTCTGCTGGCCAGGGTTTGGTTCTTTCCCTGCTCGATGAGTGGGTTTCTGGTGTACTGAAGGACATCCCTTCTGATTCCTTTTCGGTTCGGTCTTGGCTGGGTCCTGTGTGGGACTCGGACCGCTTCCTTGTCTCTCCCTCCGGCGTCTTTGCTCCTGGTCCTAACTAACTTGGAGCCTTACTTGTGGGGAGGGTCCTCTGGGCCCTGGGTGGCTAGCCCAATTTTGGCGTTGGGTGCTGCTTGCTCGGTTTCCGAACCCAAGAGTTTTCCCACGGCTCTGCCTCTTGCGGCAGCTCACTCTGGTACGGTTCATTGCTGGTCCGTTCTTCTCCTCAAGTCTTTGTGTCTGGTCTTTTTGACTCGTGTATATCACCTTCTGTTTGGTGATCAGGTGGCTTTGTTAATGGTGTCTCACCTGCGTGCTTTGTCTTGGCATGCAGTCCGCAGATCTTGGCAGTCCTTCTGTTCTTTTGACTCTGCATAGGGTCCTTCATTTTTGTTGCCGTTGTCCTTCACTCGTGCTGGTTCAGGGCTGTCATCTTCTGTCAAATCCTGTCGCCTCGTATCGTGTGGCACTGGCGGAGCCGCTGTGTCTTGCTTTTGGCGTTGTTATTACTTCTGCGCCATTTTCGCAAGCTGTTTCTGGGATTTTTCACCTCCGGCCTGTTCCTGCACCGCCTGAGCCATCCTGGTCTTTGGACAGTGTGCTCGCTTCTTTCTCTTCCGCTTGGTTTATCGTGACCCCTTCGGCACAGGAAAACAGAACAAGTATTTTATTTGAAGGAGAGTAGAGGAAGGGAATTTTTTAGGCATCTTGAATTTAATCTGTTTTCCTGATATGAGCTTAAATTCTCTCAATTCAAACTTGCTGTGTGTGTGTGGCTTTCCCAGAATGGAAACCTTGCATAAAACAAGTCAGTTCTCACTGAAGACTGGGTGGCTCAAAGTTTTGAGAGGGACTCCACTGCACTGTGCTGATAAAATTCAAGCAATGCCTAAAACTAAAGGTACATTTACTCTAACCCTTCAACTGTTGTTGGAAAAGGGCAAGAATTTATTAGTGCAGTAGTTGATCAGCAAACTTCAGAGCGGTGCTTACTTTGAAAACTGAAAGATCCCCACTAACCGAAAAGATTGTCACTACAGTACTGAAAGATCCAGCTTCTGGTGACTTGCCAGTTACCTATAAAAGGTAAACACTCCTCAGGAATTTATTCTGCTTAAAATAAAATGCAGTGTTTAAGCAGAGATACTAAAGTGACCAATCACCCTAAATAATCCAGTTTTATAATAAGAAAAGTTTAAGCTTAGCTGAAAGGCTACAGATGGGAAAAAGGTCTAACCTAGGTTTGTGATTGGTCATAGTCTGTAACCTAGCTGCTAGTATTGTCAGGATTTGTGAGGTTATTGGGATTTGGTAGAGCCTGTCACACTCATTTAGTGTGAGTTGAGGGTGGTAGTTTTGATTATTAGGCTAAATTTTAGCTTCCCATTGCCAGACGTAATTTCACCAGGAACATAAATTTGCTGGGATTGTGGGTCAGGCCCTTTTCTTCTCCCAAGAACCAGTAGTGGTCCTGCAAAATTGCCTCTCATATTTCCCCTGCTTAGCATTGCTGTGATCATTTCAAGTGCAGCAAATCAGTGTAACCTCTGGTATTGACAACTATTGTTGTGAGATAGCAAATGTGAGTACTGTATTGAGTAAAGGTACATTGTGGATCATTGCATAGTAAATAATAAGAGGGACATGACATTATATGTTATAATGTCTTTAGTGACATTATAAAGAATTTGATTATAACTGCCATGAAATCCTTCATTAATTCACAATTGTGTTGTAGGCAAATCGGCAGGAGCTCTACGGCCTTATGGACCCCAACAGAGAAGGTTTGCGCACCATAGAAGAAGTTGAACAGGGCCTTCAGCATATAATTGCAGATGTTATAAGTAAAGATCCTCAAGTTTTGGACTGCGTTCGTCAGCTGTAAGTGTATACCAGTAGATTGCTGTTGCATCTACTTAAATTGATTTTGTGTTTCAGAGGCGAATTTTTATGTATAGTAGCATAAAGGTAAAATATTTTGATACTGTTCAGAAATTATGATGAAATATGATAAAAAAACGAGGTTATTTGTACAGATAGTAATGTCGTATGATAAATAAAAATCCCCGAGAAGAATGGCAAAAATATGTTCAAATGAACAACCAATAATTTTGAATATTGCTAATTACAGCTTTTATTCTTTTTTTCTAATTTGAAAATATGCCAGTTATAGCATTTATAAATTTTCCTTGTATGAAAATTGACTTGTTATAGTAGATTTTTTTGTCTGGTGTGAAAATATGCTAGTTATAATATCTACTAGAGGAGGTACCCAGTGTTGCTTAACACTTTCGCGCTATCAGGACTCGCCAGTGAGTCCCGTTTCGTCTAACGCTACCGCATAGTGGACATAAAGTTATGTCCTCTTTTAAAATATTTGTATAAAATTCAATTTTTATCCGATTTACTTTGGGTTTGTTTCAAACTGCGCGCCATGAGGCTCTCTTTCTCACCACTAGGCTGCATGGTACAATAAGTTCATGAAAGGTGTGGATAACTTCGATCAAATGGTATTATGTCCCAAACGGGTTGCAGGTGGGTGACTTTAGCCGTTTATACTGGTAATGCTTCCCCCATATCATGTATTATATGCATATGTCTGTTTAGGGAATTTTATTCCGATCAATATACAACCAAAAATAACTGTGTGCAACAAGTATAAACTTGACAAACATAACAAAAGTAAAAACATTTCGTGTGTGTTTGACGCTCACTGATATGTTTCAGCGTTGTTTTATATTTGGTGCTATTCTAACTTACGCTTTGTTGATCTTTTTTACCTATGGGCTCATAGAACATTCTATTGCGAAAACATTGACACAAAAATGAATGACGTACATAGAAAATTAATGTCATGAGAGTGAAATAAGTATAAACTTTCAAAGCGCCGTGCGTCGTCCCATCACCGATACCGGGTAGCAATTTCACCACTTCCCACACTCCTGCGGGCGGGCCGCATCATTATTCTACGCTTATATTCATATCACCGTGTTGGGAATTTCATTGCGAGTCCATTGATACCAAAATTAACGCTGTAGAACAAGTGTGGAGGTGATTACAATCCCAAGAGTAAAAACATTTTGTTGCTGTTGGGCGCTCACGGCGAGTCATCTTCGTAGTTATTTATTTGGTGCTGGTATCCCTATACGTTTCGTGACTTTTTTTTACTGATGTTCTTCTAGAGAATTTTATTGCGAACACGTTGGTACCAAAATGAAATACGTAGCATGAGAACTAAGGTCAGAAGAGTAAAAAGAGTATACACATTTTTGTTTTTACGCTTAAGCGATAAAAAAGCTGCGCGCACATACGGTTGGCTGAGTGACCTTCGCGGAGAGCGCGAAAGTGTTAAGTGACTAATGCCTCATCTTTACTACATACTATCTTCATTACTATCACCATCTTCACTGCTATCTACATCACTGAAACCATCTTATCTACACACCATCTTTCCCACTGTAACCATCTTTAACATTGTCTTATTTATTAACCATTTTCATTAGAAACAACCTTCAGTACTGTTAACTATCTAAGCTACACATGACCATCATCATCATCACTGTAATCATCTTCACAACTTTACTGTCTGTTACTATAACTATTTTTACTACCCAGGCACTACTACATACCCTATCAACAACAATGATTCAACAACCATTATCATTGCTATCTTCTCTCTCCATCATCACCTTCCCTCCTATTTCACCTTTCTTCTCCTTCACCACCTTCTCTGTACTTTAACTTCCCTTCCCCACCTTCTATAATACTCACCACCTTTCTTAACCTTCATCATCTTCCCTGCACTTCACAACCTTCTCTACCCTTCTCTACCTAGGGTTTTGAAATGGTCAAAAGATTGGCAGATGCAGTTTAATGCTGACAAATGTAAGGTTTTGGGGCTAGGTAATGATAATAGAGTTACAAGATACGAGCTAGATGGTGTTGTGATCGCAAAGTCGGATTGCGAAAGGGATCTAGGAGTTATGATTAGTAAGAATTTAAAACCAAAAAATCAATGCATAAATGTTCGTAATAAGGCAAATAGGACACTTTGAATTATTAATCGAAGCATTAGTAACAAGACGCCTGGTATTGTTCTTCGGCTATATCATGCTCTGGTTAGGCCCCATTTAGATTATGCAGTTCAGTTTTGGTCGCCGTACTATAGAATGGATATAATTTCACTTGAACGCGTCCAGCGTAGGATGACAAAGTTAATCCCCCAAATTAGAAACATGTCATGTGAAGAAAGATTAACAAAGCTTAAATTGCATTCACTTGAAAGGCAAAGAGTTAGGGGTAACATGATAGAGGTTTACAAGTGGATGAATGGACATAATAAAAGGGGATATTAATAGAGTATTAAAAGTATCAACTCAAGACAGAACACAAAACAATGGGTATAAATTGGATAAGTTTAGATTTAGGAAAGACCTGAATAAATACTGGGTCGGTAACAGGGTAGTTGAGGGGTCCCTTGATTGTTTCAAACATGGATTAGACATGCATATGAGTGGGATTGGGTGGTTATAAATAGGAGCTGCTTTGTATGGCCCAATAGGCCTTCTGCAGTTACCTTTATTCTTATGTTCTTACCCTTCACTGCCTGGCCCTTCACCTATCACCATCTTTCCTGCCATTCACCACCTTCCCTACCATTCACCACCTTCCCTACCATTCACCACTTTCCATGTCATTCACAAACTTCCCCACCCTTTGCCACATTCTCTACTCTTCACCACCTTCCTTTTATCTCAATAATCTTAATGAGGGTGGAGCCTTTTATTTAGCTAGATTGGAAATGAGTATGATTTACCATTTTGCACAAGGGGGAGGGTTGCACAGGGCTCAACACACACCTGTCTATGACTATCCCCAGACATCCTGCAGAGTTTAGTGAGGCTGACCCAAATCATCTGGCCTCCAACTTCAAACAGTCAAATATATACTATCTGTTATAGATACTGATTTCTTTGCCTAGTGCGACATTATGCTACTTGTATATTTTTGTTTACCTGACATCATGTATGCTATTTATAATATTTATTCTCATGCTATGTTTGAAAATACACTATTTATATCATTAAATATTTTTAGTATGAAATGTGGTAGTTATGGCATTTATTGTTTTGTTTAATATGAAAATGTGGTAATTATTGTATTTATTGTCTTTAGTATGAAAATGTGCAAACCAGTGCTGGAGTGCAGCAAGGCACGTAAGCAGCAGAAGAGAGACCAGGGCAAAATGGTGAGCAAGGGGCCAGGACCAAGTGATGATCTATGTTCCAAATATGAAAACTACTTTGAATACAAGAACCTGGCATGGCACACCAAGCCTCATGCTGTGAGTTTTTCATATAATTTACAATTAGTAATATTTTGTATGTGAATGTTGTTGTTGGAAAGCATATTGTGTATGTGACAATAGATTTTTCATATTGTAGTGTATGGTATTTTCATTTATATAATTAGGTAAAACGTTAAATATTAATACTAGTACATATACTGTATATGACTAATATTTTAAAAGTGAAAATTTTTAATTTTTGGTAATTTAAATTAAAAGGTCTAAGAAGGTTCTTAGCCTAATTTCCTCATAAGTGGCTTGTTGATCTCAGATGCTGGCAATGAACCGTGGCGATCATCAGGGTGTTCTCTCTGTAAAAATCGTAATTCCAGACAACACGTATATCCACTTTTTCAACTTCTGCCAGCAAAAGTGGTTGAGATTAGCTCCGCCCCACTATTATCGGACACAGTTAGTCATGACAAGTACAGAGGACAGTTGGGAAAGACTCGGTAAGTTTCATATTGGCTTCGGCTATATTGTGGATTATGCATAGTTTTTAGGTTGATTTATGTTTCATACACTGTTTCTTAGTTTAAACACTTCATGAATTACATTTTCTGGGGAGAGGCCTTTGTTGCTCTGTTTTGTGGCCTACTGGGGACCAAAGCCTGAACCTGCCCCCCCCCCTCACAAGAGTTGCAGGGAGCAGTGGTGTTTATATATTAAGATATTTGTTTATGCTGCCACTGAGGAAGGCACCCAGAAGTAGCAAAACAAAATAAACCACTGCTGGCTTCAAATGAGACCACAGCCTCAAGATACGGCTATAGAACTCCCAAGAATGTAAACAGATGATTGAAATTTAATATAACTGGCACCAGTGCATTTGCTCCATCTCCCCCATTGTTTGGGGGGATGAGGAGGCATTCAGGGAGGCAGCCAGCTGCTCCATCATCAGCTCTCCTCTGATGTAGTGTGTGTCAGGTACCCTCTCTGTTGGTCTGGCCCCAGTGTGCTTTCTTCTGGTGTTTTGCCTCATTGGCTCTTCTTTACAACTTTGTGTTATGTGGGACAGGTGTTTAGAGTTCTCACAGCTGCATGTGCTCAGGGTTTTCTTTCCTTTGTGCTCCCTCTTGCTGCCCTTGATCTGCCAGGCCTTCTTTCCTGGAATGTTCTGGTGACGTTTCTTTAGAAGTCCTCTTTGTTTGTAGTCCTCACCTTGGGGTAAATCGGGTGTCTTGAGCTTCTGTATACAGACGATGAGTCATAATAGCATAGCTGAAGATATGTCTTTCCCCAGATTGAAATGCCTTGACTGGTGGGACACACTGATTATAGTCGTGCTGCACTTCTGTGCACCAAAGTAGGTTTTTCCAGCCGCCTTAGCTATGCTGGGTTAATTTACATACCAATTTTAAAAGTACCAGTGTAGACTTCCAGAGCCTGGGTGCCCCTGTTGGAATTGTAACCTTCAGGCCCTGGTAATTCTCCTACAGGATAGGGGGTCGCATGGGTGACCGCAACCCTGCCCGTGCCTCTTGCGAGATGAGGGTTGTTTGTCCCTCAAGGCAACATTCATTCTGCTTGTTGAATTGGTGACACCTTTGACTCTGAGTCATGTGGGGTGTGTTCTCCATCATGTTACCATCTTTGTTTTAGGTCTTGTTGCTGTTTTGATTGGATGCCCAATTGGTTACCCTGGAGCTGGCCCACTTGGGGGTGTCGGTCTTCTTGACCTTGGCTCCGTCCACACCTCCCCATCATGCATGGTTCACCCTTCCTCTGCTCCCTTCCCTCCCCTGTTTCTGGTCCCGTAGCATTTGAGGGCTTTGGGGTTGGCGGCAAGTTTTATCCCTGGATGTAACTTGGCCAGCTCCCGGGAGGTTGCCCCTTCTGATTCAGGTGCAGAGGCATTTGAACCTTTTAGTCCCACTGAAACTTCTAGGTCCTTCTTTCCGGTCAGCCCCCTTCTTCTTCAAGGTCACTCCTACGGACCCCATCTATCTGTCCCGAGCAGTGGGTGTGGACGATAGTTCTGCCCAGAGGCCCTTTGTTGGTGTTTCTGGGTCTTTGGGGGGAGTCAACATGGAGGCCTGGTCGAGGACTGGGCCGCGGGGACGCTAAGCCCCGAAATCATCTCAAGATAACCTCAAGATGACCAGACCACATCTCTGTTGGGCCCAACCCCTTTTGAGTTCAGGTCCTCTTCTCTCAGCTATCATTACAGGTTGAGAAAATTTCCTCACAGTTTTAGAGGAGAGAAGACCAGAGGAGATATGATAACTACATGTAAGATTCTGAAGGGAATAGACAAAATGAGCAAAGGAGCCTATTTAAATTGAAGAAAGAGGTAGGACAAGGGATCATCACTGTAAGCTGGGCGTGCTATTGAGTCAAAGAGATCTAAGGAAGTTATCCTTCCCTGTATGGGCAGTTGGCAAGTGAAATGCATCGAAGGAAGGGTTTGTTGAAGCTAATTACATATACAATTTTAAGAAAAAATATGATAAAAACATTAATGTTGAGAGAGGTAATTAGTACATCAGGTATAAACGACTAGGTGGGGGATAAAGAGCTACATTTCACTACCTACCTACCTACCTGTTGATGATTCCAAGAGTCAACGTCCCCACAGTCTGGTCTCTGGCCAGGCCTCCTGGCTGCTGGTCTGATCAACCAGGCTGTTTTATGTGGCTGTTCACAGCCTGATTTTAGAGTCACAGTCTGGTTAATCAGGTATCCTTTGAAGGTTCTTGTCAAGTTCTCAATTGAACACTGCAAGAGGTCGGCCAGTTACGTCCCTTACGTTTAAACGAGAAGTGATGAATTTTTTGGTCTTTGATGTTGATCGAGTTCTCTCCCTCTCTCTCGGTGTGCCTATTACACCTCTGCTTGTCAGTGGGGCTATATTGCACATCCCATAGTCTCTGATAGGTAAACACCAGGTTTTGATCTCTGGTAGGCTTTTAATAATTTGCAAGGGCCTGTTACATTTTGGTATGTATGGAACTATCCAGAGCATTGGTGGCAACAGAGAGCCACCAATGGAGCCCTCCCAGAAAAGTATAGAAATAATTCAAGTTTGGTGAAATATGGGGTTAAAAAATTCTTCCTAATAGTAAATGTAATGACCGGATAAATGTTTGTGCACTAAAATTAGTTTTCTCTTGTATTGTTGTATATGTGTAGTGCTACAGTACATTAATAATGCAGTACAGTACTATTATAGTGTGATAAATTATTGTTTAGTATCATTCATTATTAACAACTTTATTATGAAACAGCAGGTGCCTACAAAATAGTAGGCACTATTTTGTTAAGCAGATAAAAGTTTGGATTGTCAGCAGGAGTATTGCTTTTATGCATTATATCATCTTTTGAAGAGCTGAATAATTGCTGTTATTTTGCAAGATTTGACTGGACATGTGGCTTTCATTTCTCCATTTAGTCAAACCGTTCATGCAGAGGCAGATTCGCAGTGAGTTAACAGAGATGGCAGAGATTGCTTCCGTGGAGGTATTTGCTGCGAACCTTAGGAAGCTACTTCTTACTCCGCCAGTAAGGGGAAAAACAATACTTGCCATTGATCCAGGTAAGTTGGATTTGCATTAGATTTTCATTTTTGTAATTTGTTTATTTTATGCTCATAGGCAGGTATGACCATTTCTTCATGGACTCTGTGTAAGGTTTAACCCCTTAACTTTGCAACACATCAATAGCTGTGGTGAGTAACTGTCGAGTAACTTCCCACCCACCCACCTGCCTGCCCACCTACCTACCTGCCCACCTACCTACCTGCCCACCTACCTACCTGCCAGCCAGCCATCCAGCCCGTCCACTCACCCACCTGTCTGCTCACCCTCTTGCCCTGCCCATTAACCAACCAGCCAAACAGCACCCAACCAATCACACACACTAATTATAGTGTGTGTGGAAATTTAAATTATATTGGTTGTGGTACAAAAAAGTGCGAATATGGTGGCCCGGGAACGCATCTCCCATATATAGCATTGCGCCTATGGAAAATATCGATGCGCATTCGGGACAAATCCTTGACAAACACAGTCTCAGAACGTAACTCAATTGTAATTGGGGAACTGCCTGTACTTTAAACAGTCCAGCAATTCAATATCTATTACGTTATTTTGTAATTTGTTCCATAAAATTATAACCCTTGAAGCACAAAAGGAAATTCGAAGGTACTGGGGTCTGTAACTAGACTAGTACTAGAATTAAGAGTCCCAAGCCTTGAGGATATATTTAAGGGAACTCAACCTTATAACCTTAGAGGAGAGAAGAAGCAAAATGGGATATAATGACTATATACAAGTTATTGAGGATAAGAGACAAATTGGGCACAACAGTCTATTTAAATTGAGAGGAGGTAGAACAGTTGGACATAGGTTGAAGCTGGATACACATTTGAGTCATGAAGATGAATGAAAGTTCTTGTACCCTGTGGTGGTTCCTAAGTGGAATGCATTGAAAGAAGAATTTGGCAAAGCTACTTACTTCTATTAAAAACTTCAGGAAACAATATGACACAACTTGAATATTAAGAGATATTATTAGTTCATCAGGTATAAAAGACTTTGAGACAGGGCATAAAGATGAAATATCACTCATGTACAGTACTCATTGGCAAGTAAATATTTACTTGGGAAATGCAAGGCACAATCCCAGAGGCATGAAGTATTTGCCAAGAGGGGCAGGGACACCTGCCAGCACACTATCGCAGTTATCAAGGCCACTCTCCCAGATGTCTCCTGGGTGAACCTCCTGATTTTCATACTGAGTTTAAATTTTGAATCACCATTCTTTTTATATTCCAGATGTCTCTTCGTTAAATCTTTGGTCAATATGACTTCTTTGACAGATCAATTGGTCTAGCCCACCCTGACCTATTTGACAGTTCAAGTTATCTTGCCTACCCTAACTTCTTTCTGCTCCCATATTGGTATTCTGAGTGATATCTATGAACTCATGAATCTGCTGTGACATGCAGTGCTACACGTATTACCATACTGAGCTGAATTAACACTTTGTCTTTATAATTACTTATTTGTTTGGTCTCCTTGACCCCCAAGCAGTTTAAAGTGACTCCACTCTAATCAGATTATACTTTATTTTCTATTCTTAATGTTCCAGGGAAGTACTTATAATAATAGTTATAGTACTTATTGCAGGATTTGCGAATGGATGCAAAATAGGTGTAACAAATGCAACCGGGGAGCAACTTCTGACGACCACAATTTATCCATTCCGTGGAAACCAGCAAATGCAGACAGAGGACTGGAGTAAAGACCATAATGCCAGAACACTCAGGGAAATTGTTCATAAATATGGGTAGGACCAAAAGTATTTTTTATGTGTAGAAATTTAATGCTCTAATAGCTCAATAGCTTTATATATATGAAGAATTTTGTGTCTAAAATTTTCTCCATGTTGGAAGCTTAGAGATAAAAGACTTTGTATAAATACTAAGCTAAAGTATAAATACACAAGACTATAAAGACTAAAGTATAAATACACAAAATGTATTTATACTTTAATTTTCTCACATAATTTTTATATTTTATTTTTAGGTGTGAGATGTTTGCTGTGGGTAATGGGTCTGGTTGTCGGGAGACCGAGACATACTTAACTCGATTAATAAGCCAAAAGTGCTTTGACCCATACAATGTCCAGTACACTATAATCAATGAAACTGGTGCTTCTCAGTATTCTTGCTCTCCTGAAGCAAGAGCAGAATTTCCTGGCCTTGATCCAAACCACATCAGTGCTTGTGAGTTAAAAGTAATTTTCTATTTTAAAGTTACCCTATTTTAGGTTTTCTGTCTTTAAATACATTTTCTGTGTTCTGTTAGGCCAATTTCCTTGAAAACTGACCATTTGTCTATTTTGTGCAAGCAGTAAATCAAGTGCATGTAGTCCCTCAGCCTAACCACATTTAGCCTTAGTTGCACAATGTTAATAAATGTGAACAAGCTCATCCATGCTGCTAGAATATTGTGTCCTTATTTATTGCATGTGGAATACTAATTTGGGTCTTTAGATGAGGTTAAGTTACTGTTTAATCTCTCTCATCTTCCATCAACAATTGTGTGTAATAAGTTGTGTTATGGAAGATATTCTGATGGGAGTTCTGATACTCCTCAAGCCCAACCCAGTGCTAGACTTGTGATTGCTTGATCCAACAAACTGTTTCATGGAATGGCCTGCAGTCCCCCATATCAATTACAGCCTGATTGGTCCAGTACTTCTCACAGAAACTGTAATTTTCTGTGGAGAGCCCCTCCAGCTTCCCGGAGCCTACGGGCTGATATGCATGTATTTGAATGTGGCAACATTCCTTTGAATGGAGTTCTAATGCCTACTGGACCACGAGCCAGAACCTGGCCCACTCAGAGAGACACAAGGACCAATGGCTTATAGGAACCCCCCGCTGTGGTTGGAAGCATTCTATGTCTGCTGTCGACCAGGTTATGCATCCCAAAACAGACCCCAACTGGTGAAAAACTGCTACTGATAGCTGAACTGATAAGCAAAACTCCCCAATCTGAAAAGAAGCAAACAAGCATGAAGTCACACCTGTCACCACGCTGCCCGTGTGTGCAGCTCCCCCCCTCCCCGGGAGAAGGATGGGCGGGGTATTCCAGACCCCTGCGCCAGTAATTAAACTTCAGTTCTAAGGCTGTTGTGCTTGGTGACGGTCGTTCGTCTCTGGCTCCAGACTCTGTGCAGTACTGTGCCCTTGCGGTGTTGTTCTGCTATGTTGTGTGTGCACCAGTTGTACTGTAGTCTGTTTTGCTTCGCTTAACTTTCTGGGTGCTTCCCTGGTGGTGGCAGTTATGATTAACTTTAAATATAAAGTGTTCATAGGTCATCGCTCCCGGTGCTTCTCTGAGGAGGGCCAGGTTTTGGCTTGTGGTCCCTGGTAGGTAGGCAAATAGAACTCCGTGGCTGATGGCACCTAGTACTATGGCACTGAATCAGTGAAATAGCTTCAGGGAGCCTCTGGGGCTCACCCAGAAATTGGCATTTCATTACATTCAATGCTGGTTTTCTGAGGGTGGGGGGGATGGGGGGCAATTGAAAAGGTTGGGAACCCCTGATATACTGTAGATAGTTAAGTGTTATAGAAACTTGAAATTTTTAATTGAACTTTAGAGTAGCCTATAATGGTTTCACCCTAGTATTTTTAAACAGATTTTAATTACTTAATTATTTTTATGTAAATACTAAAGTATTTAATCTTTCTTTAACAGTGTCATTGGCCCGAAGACTGCAAGATCCTCTTTTAGAATACATTAAGGTCCATCCAATGCATATGGGCGTTGGCATGTACCAACATGATATTCCTGAGCGTATTCTACATGCCTCTTTAGACTCTGTCATGACTGAATGCGTGTCTTTTGTTGGCGTTGACATTAATTCGGCATCAGAGTTTGTCCTGAGGTGTGTCTAATAGGATTGGTGGTTGCCAATACATTACCATACTGTATTGTATATTATATATGTTTTAACAAAATACAACACTGTAATAAATTTTTGTTTCAACAGAGTTTTGTTAATAAATGTCTTATTCTCTGGAGGAGGCCCTTGTTGCTCCCCTAAAACTACTGTGCTGATATAGTGCCAAACTACTAGGTGCAATCAATTGCAGAGTTCTTTTAAGCCTACCAGTGACCATAAGCCAGAACCTGGCTTCTTTCAGAGTGGCACAGGAAGCAGTGGCACTTGTGATAAAATTTCTATGAATTTATTCATATCTGCCACCCACTGGGGGGGGCACCCAGAAGAACATTGAGACAAAGCAGACCACTGCTGATTAGAAATGAGACTGCAGCCTTAAAACTGCCAAAAGAATTCCACCAACTGTGCCTACAAGTGATCCAAAATTCACGAAACTTGTGCAAGCTCATTCGCCCCTGTGTCCTGTTTTTTTTCAGTTAAGTGGTGTTTTACCTTTGCGGGTGTTCTTGTACACAGTTGTGCCGGGAGTTTAGTGTGCCTGGGGCTGCATGTGCTCAAGGTTGTCTTCCCTGGAGTGTTTAGGAATCGCTCCCTTTGGGGAGTTTCCTTTTTTTTGTGGTGATGTTCATCCTTAAGTTGTCTTTGTCTCTCCAAATGTCGGGAGTGAATTTGACTGGTGGGGCACACTGTGGTTTGCACAACCTTGCCGGCACACCGAGGTAGTCCTTCCAGTCAATTACATGGCTGGTTTGATCTACTGTTCTCCATTGCTTACTTGTCCTCCATGGTCTGGTGTTCTGAGAGATTGTGGAATTTGACTTAATTTTTTTATAATTTCAGTGGGCTTTTGCTTCATTTGTACCCATTTGCCACTGTGGGGTTTTATTCATGCCTTTCCCTGCCACTATTAGGTTTAACCTAGTGTCTAGGTATGAATCAACCCCTTTTTGGTTTCCTCTCTTGCCCGTTCTGCTGGCATCGAGTATCATGGGTGCTTATACAATTATACAGGATTTACAAGCGTAGCATTTTTTGTGTTGCAATTGTGTTAGTTATGTGCCTACTTGAATGACCCAAACCGGCTTTGCTTCGTTAGGGTTCAGGATTTGGAGGTGCTGGTTAATTCAACTGTGGTTCCTGCCCCACATCTTGTTCCTTCCTCGTTGGGCATAGTTCGCCCTTTCCCCGGCCCTCCCAATACTACCCTGTCCTGCTTCTGGCCCCAAAGTATCTGAGGGTTTTGGGGCTGAATTTAGCTTGAGATGTGTCCTGGGCAAGACCCTCTTCCTCCCCAGGGGTTGCCCCTTCCAATTCAGGCATGGAGGCAGTTGAGCCTATTGGTCCTGCCGAGGCATCTGCGTTCTTCTAGCCAGCCCCCCACCTTTGAGAATTCCTTCTTAGACTTTGCTTCTCTATCCCAGGCGGTGGGTGTGTATGATGGTTCTGCTCCGGGGCCCTCTTCTGCAGTTCGGGAGGCTTAGAGAAAGTTGAAGTTGGGTTCTTGGGTCCCAGCTGACCTTTTGTGGACTCTTGGCCTTCTGTAGAGGTACTTTTGTTGCACGGGTTGGGTTCTTTTACCTTCTCTCCCACCTCCACCCACCCACCCTGTATGAGTGATTTGGTTGCAAATTCCCTTGAAGTTCAGTTCTGTGTGACTTTGGGTTCCTGGCCAGTGGTCTGTCCTACTTCTGCCCCATCTCCACCGAATGGACTGTTGATGCCGCTGCCTTCTGCTTTGCTGGATGTTCGTGCACCTGGACTGAGATCTCTCTGCTTCACCTTGGTCTCTGTGTCTTCCACTTTACGCGATGCTGTTCCCCAACTGCAGAGCCCACTCGGTAGATGCCTTTTGGCTGGACTGGTCAAGGTAGGGGTTCCTGTACTTCTTCCCCCCGGTTCGGCTGTTGCTCTGGGTCCTGGCACACGTAGAGTCCTACAGTGGGAAGGTAATCCTTCTGCCTCTCTGGAGGCTGGCCCAGCCTTGATTTTAGATGCTGCTTGCTCGGTATCCAAACCCAGTCATTTTCCTATGGTTCTGCCTTTATCAGAAGGTTGGCCCAATGACATGTTTTGCTAGTTCGACCTCCTCGACCTCCTGTCAGGCCTTAGGGGCCTGACAGCTACTGGACAGTGCTCGGGATTCGTAGTCCTAAGATTCCAAGTTCGAATTCCTGGTGGAGGCAGAAACAAATTGGCAGAGTTTCTTTCACCCTGATGCTCCTGTTCACCTAACAGTAAATAGGTACCTGGTAGTTAGACAGCTGCTACGGGCTGCTTCCTGGAGATGTGTAACAAAAAGGAGGCCTGGTCGAGGACTGAGCTGCGGGGACACTAAGCCCCGAAATCATCTCAAGATAACCTGAAGATAATCTCCGCTTTATGCATCTGGAGTTTCTGACACATATCTATTACTCTCTCTCATAATAATCAGGTAGCTGGTTTGAAGGTGTCCCACCTACGGTCCTCCTCCAGGCAACAGTATGAGGTTATATGACATGAATTCCACCACTTCCTGTCCCTTCATCATTGCTCTTTGGTGTCGGAGCGGGTTATTCTGTTTTCTCTTAGGTTTTTTTTATTGGCATTTTGCCAACTGCTGTTGCCTTATATTGTATGGTGTTGGCGGAGCCGCTTCAGGTTGCCTTCAGGATTGGTATACCTTAGGTCCATTTTGCAAGCTTTCTCATATACTGTTTCACCTCTGGCTTGCTCATGCGTTGTCTGAGCCTACTTGGATCTTTGGACTGTGTTCTTTTCTTCCTTTTGTCTGCTCATTTTACGATGAGTCTGAACCCTGTTGCCCTTTGGTCTGAATTGGTTTTCTTTAGACTTTGTTTTTGGTTTCTCTTGTCTCTGTTGCATGGGAGCCTGAAGCTCACCTACACAACAACTGGAAGGTGAGCTTCAAGTGAGCTTTGGGTGAGCTTGGAGCTCACTTGAAGGTGAGATTCAAGCTAACCTTGGGCTACGGGGTTTTTGTTATTTTGATCTTGGGGGGCCAGTTTGTGAGCTTGCAACTGGTTCCTCCTTTTCTGGTAAAGAATGAATGGGATGGCTTACAGAGGGTTCCATTGGGTGTTAATGCTTGACTGGTTCAGCCGGGGATGCATCATGTATTGTGTCTGGTGGCAGCTCTTCGCTTCTACCTTCATGCCACTGCTTCTGCTTCAGTGGACTCATTGTAGAGTGATCTGGTTTCCCTGGTTTCCTGTTCCAGGGCTCATGTTTCTCAAGTCATCTGCAGTGTTATCAAGTCTAGCCAGTCTGCAGTGTACCCTCATCCCCATGATGTTCGTCAGTATGCTGCTCTCTTGACTGTTTTTGCCAAAAAAAATCCGTACCTGAAAAATACGCACAGAGTTTTTGGCAATTCAGCAGCATTGTGAAGCCTGCAGTGCTCCTTCCTGCCTGGTGAGTGCCCTGTCTTTCTTTCTCCGTGGGTAGGGAGCTTCAAGGTGCCACAAGGGGCTTCTCCAGAAAGCCAGCATTGAATTTAATGAAATGCCAATTTATGAGTAAACCCCAGTGGCTATCTGACAACCTCCCTCGCCAAGGGAGTTAGAGTTATTTCCATCATCGTGTAACTGAGAGTGGAGCAGTCTGCTGACCTGGGCTGACTCCCTCCTCCCCCCAAATGATATGGGGAGGAAAGGGGGGGGGGGGGATTGGGGCAAATGAGCTTGTGCTAATTTTGTGAATTTTCAATTGTTTACAATGTTGGGAAAGTTCTTTGGCACATTGGGGCTGCAGTCTCATTTTTCTTAATAGTCAATTTTTGTCTCTGTTTTTCTGGGTGCCTTCCCCAGTGAGTGGCAGACATGAATAAATTTATAGAAATTTTATCATAAGTGCTACTGCTTCCTGCCTGAAAGAACTCCGCAACTGATGGCACTGTGTAGCTTCAGGGAGCCTCCAGAACTCACTCAGAAATTTACATTTCAATACATTCACCTCTGTTTTTTTTTATTCCAGAAAACTTTCAGGTTTAAACAAAGTTCGAGCTGCAAACATTATAGAGTATAGAAAAACTAAAGGGCCATTCATAAATCGTGAACAACTAAAGTCTGTTAAGGGTATTGGACCACGGACTTTTGAACAGTGTGCAGGTTTCATTAGGATATTGCCTGAGACCCTAGAAATGGAGATTAATAGGTATGTACATTAAAACTCTGTTTTAAAGTTTTTGATGCTAGAGGATTTACATTTACAGAGAGAGAGAGAGAGTGTGTGTGTGTGTGTGGGGGGGGGGGGGGGGTGGGGGGTTGGGGGGGGGGGTTTATGTATGTATGTATGTATATATGTATGTATGTTGTACCTAGTAGCCAGAACGTCGTACTCGGCCAGCTATGCAAGGCACGATTTGCCTAATAACCCAAGTTTTCCTGAATTAATATATTTTCTCTAATTTTTTTCTTATGAAATGATAAAGCTACCCATTTCTTTATGTATGAGGTCAAGTTTTTTTTATTGGAGTTAAAATTAACGTAGATATATGACCGAATCTAACCAACCCTACCTAACCTAGGGTTAGGTAGCCGAAAAAGTTGGGTTAGGTAGGTTAGGTAGTCGAAAAACAATTAATTCATGAAAACTTGGCTTATTAGGCAAATCGGGCCTTGCATAGTAGGCTGAGAAGTGCGTTCTGGCTACGACATATATATATATTTTTATTTATTTATTTATTTATTTATTTATTTATTTATTTTAGTAGCAGGGATCTCTTTCTTGTAAACATATGTTGTTGAATATGACTGAAAAGGTAAGACTAATAATTCTAACACGAATCTTCTCAATATTTCTTATGTTTTTCTTCACTGTCGGTGGTAATAAAAATAACAATTCTCCGATATTCATTTTTTAATTGTCTGACGCCTGAACGCGTTTCGTAATTCGTATTAAATTTTCAAAGACTTAATTTACACACAAATTCTTCGTACTTATACTCTATTGGATGAGGTGATATGGTACAAAAGTTTTGGGTGAGGTGACAAACACAAGACAGGACACGAAACAATGGGTATAAATTGGATAAGTGAACATATGAATGGAAGTCTGCAGAAGGTCTATTGGCCCATACTTCCTCTTGCTGCTTCCATATTGGTTTGGGGTCTTGAAGTAGGTAGAATATAGTTGTGCATTAATTGGCTGTTGATTGCTGGTGTTGACTTTTTGATGTGTAGTGCCTCGCTGATGTCAAGCCACCTGCTATCGCCGTACCTATCGATGATTTCTGTGTTGTTTGTTAAAATTTCTCTGGTGATGGTCTGGTTGTGAGAAGAGATTATGTGTTCCTTGATGGCTCCCTGTTGCTTATGCATTGTTAGTCGCCTAGAAAGAGATGTTGTTGTCTTGCCTATATACTGAGTTCTTTGGGGCTTACAGTCCCCAAGTGGACATTTAAAGGTATAGACGACGTTGGTCTCCTTCAAAGCGTTCTGCTTGGTGTCTGGCGAATTTTTCATGAGTAGATTGGCCGTTTTTTGGTTTTATAATAAATTATCAATTGTATTTTCTGATTTTTGTCTGTAGGGATGACGTTCCTATCAACAATATCTTTCAGGACCCTTTCCTCCATTTTATGAGCCGTCGAAAAGAAGTTCCTGTAAAATAGTCTAATAGGGGGTACAAGTGTTGTGTTGGTGTACTCTTCAGAAGTTGCATAGCTCTTATTTATATACACATAAAGAGGAGTTGCCTCATATGGGCAATATGCCCATATGAGGGCATATTACAACCATACAGAGTTGTGAAAATCAGATGAACATAATCTGCATACATATGGTGTAATTATTATAGAATTTTATACCATAATTACCGCATTGGCATAGTAATATTTGCTACGGTACCCGAATTTTCATAGTAAGGTAATCATGAAATGATTATAGGATTTCTGGAGGAGCCCTAGTAGCTCCCTGAAGCTTCTTGCTGATATTGCACTATATAAATGGGTTACATCAGATCCAGAAGTTCTGTTTGATCTACAGGGCACTAGAGCCAGCACTTGGCCCTTTACAGATGCACAGAGAGTAAGTGATAATTTGTCACCACACCAGGAAAGTATCCAGGAAGTCAGTGAAGCTTTACAGTTTCTAAATCCATAAAAGCACCATGCAAAATTCTCTTGTTTACCTCAAACTTTTCAACAACTATTCCCATGATAATATTCTGATCTGTAAAACCCCCTCCCTTTCCTAAACCACCCCCTGTTTCTCTCCTATCCATTTTCTATTGTATCTCTTACTCTGTTTGCAAACTGATCTCTCTATAAATCCTGCAGTCATCCCTACTAATCTTTTCCTTATATATAGGTACAGTATAGGTACACAAAGCCTTATTTTTTGTTTAACTTACCAGTAAACATTTGTTCAGAATTCAGTACCTTTATGAATAATATTTTACAAAACTTATATGGTTTTCCAGAACTCCACAAGGTAAAAAAAGAGCAGAGAAAGAATCAATAAACCCATTTGATAGGACGATGATCCATCCTGAATCCTATGCTTTTGCATTAAAATTTACCAGCATAGTTGGTCTCCGACAGCAAGACATTGGATCTGAGCATTTTATCCAAACTGTTCGCCACTTCATGCAGACTACAAGTAAGGAATTTTATATTAGCTGCAATATCTGAATAATATCTCAATATCTCAATATTGAGAATATCTGAATAAATATTTTTTATTAAACAATAATAATAGGTAGTTGCAATGTTTTCTGTTGGAGACTCTTGTGGCTCCCTGAAGTTATCCTGCTTAGCTAGCCCATAACTACTGGATTGCATCAGGCATGGAGTTCGGTTTAGCCTACTGGGGACCAGAGCCAAAACCTGGTCTCCTCACAGAGGCACAGGAAGCAATGGCACTCTGCCACCTCACTGAGGAAGGCACCCGGTCGGAAGGGAGCCGGTCGGCCGAGCAGACAGCATGCTGGACTTGTGATCCTGTGGTCCCAGGGTCGATCCCGGGCGCCGGCGAGAAACAATGGGCAAAGTTTCTTTCACCCTGTGCTTCTGTTATCTAGCAGTAAAATAGGTACCTGGGTGTTAGTCAGCTGTCACGGGCTGCTTCCTGGGGGTGGAGGCCTGGTCGAGGACTGGGCCGCAGGGACACTAAAAAAAAAAGCCCCGAAATCATCTCAAGATAACCATTTCAAGATAACCCAGAAAGTCAGTGAACTGATGTTGACCACTACTGGGTTCAATTGAGATAGAAGCCTCAACCCATCAAATGAACAACTCCTTATGCCTCTGTGAGGGGTCAGGTTCTGGTGCTCGGTCTCCGGTAGGCCAGGAACTCCACGACTGATTGCACCTAGTAGTTGGCACCTACATTGGAGATTGTAGCTTTAGGGAGCCAGTGGGGCTCACCCAGAAATCGGCGTTACATTACACTCAATGCTAGTTTTTCTGTGGGGAGCCCCTACGGCTCCCTGGAGCTTATCAGGCTAATGTATGTTATATTAGACCGGGACATTAGCTAAGGAGTTCAGACCTACCAGGGACCAGCGCCAGAACCTGGCCTCTTCAGAGAGGTTTCAGGGAGCAATGACCCTGGAAAACCACCTTGTGGTTGGGGTTTTCCTTATCTGCCATCGACTGGGGTTAGGCACCCAGAAAGGTAGGCATAACAAAACATACCGCACATGGTAAAAAACTAAAACAAAAAACGAACAGAGAGGTAGAAACTCCCTACAATCCCAAGGAAACAAGCAAACATCACACTTTACTGCCGCGCCGATCGTCCGCGCAGCTCTCCCTGTCCCGAGAGGGAAAGGGGGGCAGCCCTGTACCTCACCGCGCTGGCTACCTAGCATCAGTTCGTAAGCTAATGTCAACCGGGATAGACGCTTCTCTGGCCTCAGTTTCCTAGGCAGTGTTTGCCTTGTGTGGCGTTCATTGCCGTGTGTTGTTGTGCGGTGGCCAGGTGTTCCTCATCAGTACCAGGGCTGCATGCGCTTAGGGGCTTCCATCCCTAAGCGCCCTGTGAGTACTGCCCCTGCGTGACAGGGTTATCTTCCCTGGGGTGTTCGGGAACCATTCCCGTAGAGGTTCTTAATGCTCGGCATTTGCCTCGCCCTTGGGGCGAGCTGGGGTTGGGGCCCCTTGTTTGGCCCTGGGTAAGGACTGGAATTGTGTTGGTTAGGGCGTCAAGGTATTGCACGACCTGCCACCTAAGCGGCAACCGGTTCCTGTTGCCTCTGGAGACGGTGTACTTTTGCGGGGTTTTTCTTTTGTTTTTATTTTCATTTGCCTGGTGGGGGTCTGCCCAGTGTGGCTATAGTTCTACTGGTAGTGTTTGGTGGCCCTCTGCTAGGCCCCCGTGATGGTACACGTCGCAGGGGTTTTCAGTGTTCTTCTCTACCCCCTTGTTATTTTTGGGTTTCTTAACTGGTTAGCAACACTTTGCCCAGGCTTCCCGTAGTTGTTACTCTACGGGCCCTGGAAACCCCTGTCGGGGCTCGGTGGACCATTGAATGTGACTTCCGAGTTCCAACCCGTCTTGTACGGGATCGTTGGTTGCTGTGCCCTTGTCTTCGGGTGACAGTCGCCACTTTTACCTCCGTCATGCTCCCTGTTGGGTCACTGACACCTTGACCCGGAGTCTTGCGAAAGATATTCTCTGCTTGTTCTCCAGTTAATCCTGATGTTATTAATGTTCAGAGTACAGGCGGCATCCGTGTTGCAAGCTAGTTTAGGTTGTTGCAACACGCTAGGTTGGGGACCCACTCGGATGCCCCGGGGCCGCCCCATTTTGGTTAGGTGCTGTTCGCCCCTTTCCCTCCCTGTTCCTGGCTTCTGACCGTCTTCGGGGTCGGGGCGGGGTTTAGTTGGGGCCGAGACTCGGGCGGTTTCGGGGGCTGCCCCGTTCGGGTTGGGGATGGAGGTTTTCGAGCCTGTTTCTCCTGCCAAGGCTTCTGGGTCTTACCAGCGGCCCTTTCTTGCTGCCTTTCCCATGGACTCTTCCTTTTCTTTAAGGGCGGAGGGCTTGGAGGACGGCTGTGCCCCGGGGCCTCTGGTGCGGGTTCCCGTGGTTATAGGGGATGCCTGCTAGCAGTTCTGGGGCTGTTTGACCCTGCCGGGGTTTTCTGCTTCTGGGCAGAATTTTTCGCCCATCCAGTCTGCTTGCTTCCCACTTTTGCTGGCATGTTTTCGTATCTTTTGCGTCGGTCACAGCCCCCTGTTCTGGTGGCCATTTTCTTCTGCCAGTTTCCCGGCGTGGCCACCAGGGCGGTGTTGCGGTTTGTTTACATACGCCTTGGTGTGCGAGTGAGTGTCTTGGGTGAGTTTTTTTCACCTTTTTCAAGGGTTTTATTCTCCTGTTGTCGTTTCTTTGCTTTTCTGGTGTTTTCTGCCCGTTTTCTGTTCCTCTGGGAACGTTTGAGTGTTGATTTTACACCGGGTTTTCCATTTTGTCTGTTTAGGGTCTGGGCCCTAGGGTTTGGGCTCAGTGTCCCTGTCTGTTATGCTTGCCCCCACACCTTGTCCCTCGGTTTTCGGTCTGTTTTGACCGTTTCCCTGGGGGTTCTGTCTGGGGGCTGTGCTTTGCCTTTCTGTGGTGTATCTCCGCCGGCAAATGTGGTGGTTTGGGCTCCCCCTGGTTCGATTCCGGGTTCCTATGGGTTCTTTGATTTCGTTCAGGAGGTTTCTTCCTCTTGGGCCCCCTTTGTGGGTTCAGGGGGCTTTGTTTCCTCGTGTGTGACCTAGTTCTGCCTTCTGGGGCTCCGGGGTCTTCCTGGCTTGCATACTGATCTTTTTGGGTCTTGGCACATGTTGTGGTCGTGCTGGGACTTTGGGGTTTTGTCGAGGTGGGCCTTTTGATGCAGTTTTGTGCCTTCTTCGCCTGGCCGGCGTGGTGCTCTCTGCCCACTGGTCGGAGGCTTGTAATTTTCTTTTCACGTGTATGTGTGTGTACACATGTACATGTGTACATTGTGTGTGCGCACACGTGTATGTGCATACACACGTGTGTGTAATACACCTTTGTGTGTGTATTTATGTGTATGTGTATATATGTATATGTACATAATACATATACATATGTATATATGTGTATATATGTATGTATACTTTTTCTTTCAGAAGGGGCTCTGTTCCCTTCGCTGTTGACGGGGCGTTGGGGGGAGCAGCTTGCTTTGTTGACTCTCGCATGGTCCCACAGTTAGTGGGCGCTTTTGGTTGTCTTCCGGCCTCTGGTGGCGGCGGCGGATGGCTTCTTCCCCTGCACTTCATCATGTCAGATTAGTGGGTGCGTTGGATGTGCTTGATCCGCCCCCATCCTTCTGGGGTTCCCGTCTGCTCTATGCAGACACGGGCCTGGCGAATCTGCTGTTCTTCTGGACTTCTCCAGTCTGCGCCCTGGATTCTATGCCCTCATCGGAGGACTGTTGTCTCCGGTCTGGCTTCTGTTGGGGCTGGGTGCCTCGATGGTGGCCCTAGACCTCCAGGTCAATTCTTGGCACATTCTTCTCCAGTTTTCCAGGACTGGCACAATTGGTGGTGGGGCTTCAGGCTTGCCGCTTCTGTAGCCTTCCCTAGTTTGTAATTGGCACTTGGTGTATTTATGCATCTTTACCGGATCTTGGTACCCTGTCTGAGTCTGCTTGGGATTCGGTGTCTGGCCTACCTCGACGATTGGCTGGTGTGGGCTCCCAGTCGGTCCGCTTGTCTGCTCGCCAGGTGTGTGGTTCTTTCCAGATCGCCGGGTTTGGTTCCAAAAATTTTGTTTTAGTATACTGTACTTATTACATACTGTATATTAGGTTTTTCCATCACCTTCATTCAAGCACTATGGCATTGCAGTAATTTCCTCCAAAGAAGGTAATGTTCTTTGGAAAATGCAGTATAGCACTGCATGACTATTTGAATCACTAAATTTATTTTAGTGGACCTTTTATGCACAAGCATATGAAATACAAAGTTTTGTTTATTGATCCGTATTTAAGTGTGAATTGCATTACAGAATTTTTTTTAATTAAAATTGAAGCCAGAAAAATGTGGGCTAATTGAGATTCCCTTTGTATTGCAGCTTTAGAGGCAGTTTCTGAACAGAATGGGACAACTGTACCAACGATGCAGCTCATTGTAGAGGGCCTGGCACAGCCTCTCGACTATGATATCCGAGCCCAATTTGAGAAACCGTTGTTCAGAAAGGGCATCACTTCCATAGATGACATCAGTTTGGGAACGAAACTGACAGGTGTGAAGGCAATTTTTTGTGTTGGTAGTCTCTGCCTGATGTATTAACACTTTCGCGTGCCTGGCGGGCTGACCCGCCACGCACCGCAAGGTAGGCCAAGCGTTGGCCGTGATGGCGCACAAACCACGCTCAAATGTTTATATTCTTTTCAGCTTTCTCATCTCAATTTTCATTCTTCATCATCTCATTTTGGTATCAAATTGTTTGCAATATGGCATTCATGGTGTGCATTTGATAACCAGTCTCACAATATTCGGACAATGCATGGAATTTTTACAAGTTTATTAACTACTTAATAACCCCTTTATATTACAATATAGGATGAGCAATCTCTGCAATATTTCCACCTGCACTGTTCATCTTCTGTAACACATCCTCTCCATTTACCTCTTTTCCCCTCTCTTTCCTTCACATTTCACTTTCTCAGCAGCTTTCCATCTTCTAACTCTAATACTTTCTCTAATTCTTTACTCTATAACTTTAGTGTTGCCCGCATTTGTGCCCATGTTCTTTGAGAATACTTCTTACTTTATCTCATACTCTCATGCCATACCATATCTCCTTTCTCTCAGCCTCTTCACTGACATCCATATTTCTCTCTTTATTGCATTAACAGAACATTTGTTTCAGTACATAATAAATTCATATATGTTTTCAACCAGAATTGCTATTCATTTTAAAATATTTTTTTCCAGGTTCTGTGAGAAATGTGACACACTTTGGAGCCTTTGTTGATGTTGGACTTGGTAATGATGGACTTGTTCACTCCACTAAAATGGGTGGTATGAGACTAGAGCTTGGAAACATAGTGGAAGTCTCAGTCATTGCTATAGAAAAGGAACGTGGTCGAATTAGTCTCATGCTAGAGCGAGTTATTGGTTAAATAAATTTTGAAAGATTTTCATTTTGGAGTTCAAAACCCTGGCAAATGCTGCTTTGGGATCAATAGTGTATAGCTACTGGGAAGGGGCAGTTTTTATTTCATATGTTATGAGTGCATAACATTCAGATATAAAAAAGAAATCAGAGAATGACCTTTTTTTCCATTCACTCCTCAACTGCATGATATTTTCAGTGTATATATGATGTTGATAGCTAATATCAGGATACCTCCATAACTTGTCAAGCTTGTATTGTAATGTTGACTTCTTATTCTCTCTGTTATATAATGACTGAATACACAATCTAAACATAATATTCTCATTTAGTAATAATCACCTAAAATTTTAACTGATGGTAATAATGCATATTAAGATCTTAATTATTAAGGGTATTTTTGTCATGACTTGCAGTAACAAGTTCTGCAAGAAAACTGTTCCTTGCCACCCATTGGGGTGTGACAGAGTTTCAATATAATTTCTTTGATGTATTTTGGGTACAAACAAATATTTATTTTATACAGTTATTTAAATAAGTGTTTGTTAACCATATTCTATGCATTGACCTCATTTATCCATGAAAGCTCTTGCCACTATAAATAAAAAGGGTATATTTTCTCTCATTATTTATTTAATTGTCAACACTCATTTATCAACTTTAACATCTACTGACCTTACTTCCAGTGCGTATTGTTTTATTATTCTTTAGTTACTTTGCATTTATTTGTGTATTTTACATAAATCTTCCAATATTCCTTCCTATTTGTGTATACAACTGAGGTAGCTCTTTGTTCTTTGTGCACTTCAGTTTTCAAATAGCAGCTGTTGTGCTATGGAGTAATTAAGCAAATGTTTAAAGGTAAGTGAGTATGAATGGGTTCAATATTTGTGAAAGATTGCATAAGTTTCCTTCTGTTAAAAAGATGATTACCAAACCACACACCAGAAGATGAGGAGACGACAATGTTTCGGTCCATCCTGGATCATAATCGACTAGATAATGGTTCATAATGGACTGAAACATCGTCTTCTCATCTTCTGATTTGTGGTTTGGTAATCATACCTTCAGCAATGTTATTGTGACTCGTCGTCTGTTAAAAGGATGTTTCTGGGGGGAGCCCCTTCGGCTCCTCGGAGCTGACATGGATATTATTAGGCCTTTGCATCGGTCATTGTGAATGGAGTTCTAGGCCTATTGAGGACCACGAGCCAGAACCTGGCCCCCTCAGAGAGGCACGAGGAGCAATGGCATATAGAAATGCACATGTGGTTATGGAGCATTCTATGTCTGCCATCAACCAGGTCAGGCACTCAGAAAGGTAAGCATCCCAAAACAAACCCCTATTCTGGTTAAAACTACTACTAAAAGGCAAACGAGTGGACAGAACTCCCCCAAAAGAAAACGAGCATGATGTCACCACATGCCGTGCCACTGCCTGCACAGGTTCCCCCATCCCCAGGAGGGGAAGCTCCAGACCTCTCACGCAGGATACCCGCACCTACTGTTCTCCGGCTTATGTGAATGGAGTCGGTTGTTGTGGCTCTGGCTCCTGCTTTCTGTCCTCTGCTCTGTGCCTTATGGTGCGGTGTAGTCAGGAGTAATCTCCCAAATACACAGCCTGCATGCGCCTAGGGTCATCTTCCCTAGGTGACCTGTAAGTACTGCCCTTGAGGCTTTAGGCCACCTTCCACAAGTCACCTAGGGATCTACCTCTGCTGGGTCTTTTGCTGCTCGGCAATCGGCTGCCTATTGTGTCTTTTACACTCTTGTTCGCCTTAGGGTAAGAGATAGTTTGCACTGGTAGGGGCACAGGGTACTGCACAGCTAGTTGTCACCTCATAGCGGCCGGCTCTGTTCCACCTGGGTACGTTGTCCTCTTGTGGGGTTTTATTTTTGTTTTTGTTTCCTCTGTCTGGTGTGGGGGTTTGCATTTGATTGTTGCCTCCTGTATATGTCTAGATTGCTCTGTACTTCTTGATGGTACCCCCTGCTAGGCTACCGTGAGTGGACATGTCCCGGGGGTTCAGTTTCTAGAAGTTTTGTTGGTAGACTTGGGTGTCGGTTATCAGTACCCTGCCTGGGCTTTTCTGAGTATGAGTTCCGTCTTAGGACCCTGGAAATCCACACGGGGATGTGTAGGTTCGATGGATGTGACCCCTAAGTCCCCCCCCCCCTCCTTTGCTTTGTGTGTTAGTTTGAGTGTTGCTCTGTCCCCTTGTCTCAGGGTGACTCTCATTGTCTTTTCCTCCGTCATGCTGCCTGCTGGGTCGGTGACACCTTCGACTCGAAGTCATGCAAGTTTTGTTGCTTGTTTTTGACTCAGTTTAACCGGTCCATTTATGGCTCTCTTCGAGTACAGGTGGCGCAGGCATTGCGGTTGGGTTGCTGCAACGCGTTTGGTTAGATGCTGTCCTAGAAGCTCCGAGGCTGCTTTGTTGGTTATAGGGACCCGAACTTGGGGGTGGTGGTCGCTTCGACTCTGGTTCAGTCCATGCCTCCTCATCCTTACCCTGCTGCTGTTCGTTTGGTTCTCTCTCTCCCTGTCTTTGGCTCCTGAAAGGTCTGTGGGTTTCGGGGTCAGTGCAGGGTTTAGCTCGGTTTGAAACTGGCAGTCTCGGGGGGAAAGGGGGGGGTTGCCCCTTCCAAGGTTGTGATAGAGGCATTCGAGCTTGTTCCTCCAGCCATTGTGTATGGGTCTGACCAGTGGGCCCCCTTCCTTAGTTTTTTCCGGTTGCCCTGGTCTTTTCTTGTGGGGTCAGAGCTTTGGGGGAGAGGCTTGGCCCAGGGTCCTGCTGTGGAGGTTCCCGGGGCTGGGAAGGGGTTGTCCGTTGGTCCCCGCTTGGGTTTTCTACCCTTGGAGCGGGGCTTGCTGTTCCGGGGAGTGGAGTTTTCTCCTTCCCTTTCCCCCTTCTCCCTCCACGTATGAGTTGGTTTGGTGTCAGCCCCTCCCGGGTTTGGTTCCGTGTCCGTTAGGGTCCCTCAGTCCCGTCCTTCTGGAGGTTTCGGCTTCCCATATCCGGCTTCATGGTGGCTTTTGTGGCTTACCTTCTGCACGACCCGGGTTACGCCTCTCTCATGATTCTGCCTTCATTCAGGTTGGAGTATTTATGTCCCTACTGGGTTCGTTGGGAGGTTCCGGTGTCGTCCTGGCTTGCGGACTGCCTGGTGTTTTCGTTGGTGGCTTGGCATATGTTCTGTCATTCCGCACGCTTTAGTAGTGCGTGGTACTTAAGATGGTCCAGGTTTTCCTGGGGGTGGGTTGTGCACCTCCATGCATGCTTGTTTGCCCCTGCCCTTCCGTGGGATGTTGGAAGATCTCCGCCTCTTTCGGCAGATCGGACGGATCTCTCGCGTAACTGGTTCGGTCTTCTCCTCAAGTCTTCGCTTCTGATCTGACTCAAGTCTGTTATCTTTTGTATGGTGACCAGGTGGCTTCGTTCAGGATGTTCCACCTGCGTGCTTCGTCTCGGCGGCCATATGAAGTTTCCTGGCGATCCTTCCGTTTTCTTGTCCCTTTGTAGGTTTACTTGGTCTCGGATGGAGCTGTCTTTTTTTCGCTCGTAGTTGTTCAGGCCATTTAATTCTGTCGCCTCTTCTTGTATGGCACTGGCGGAGCCGCTGCGGCTTGCATTCGGTGTTCCTTTGGTGCCGTTTCACAAGTTGTCTCGTGTGTTGTTACACCTCTGACCGGCTCATGCGCCTCCTGCACCGTCTTGGTCTTTGGATCGGGTGCTCTTTCCTCTCTTCTCGGTTTGTGGTGGCCCCTTTGGTTCCGGGTTGTTTCGCTACGGCTTTTTTCCTGTTGGCGCTGGCTTCTGGGGGTCGAGTTGGGGAGCTTCATGCTCTTCTACGGCGTTGCTGTTTCTGTTCGTTAGGTCCTGGTGGTAAGTTGGTTTTGTTGCAGCCATCTCCTTTTGTGGCGAGGGATGTCTACTGTTTTCCAGAGGGGTCCTTGGGTTGTTGATGCTTGGTTGGTTCGGCTGGGGATGCATCGTGTGTTGTGTTCAGGTGCGGCTCTCAGCTGTTCTTTGCGTACCATGGCTTCTGTGTCCGGGGACACTCTTTGGGTTGCCCCGGGTTCCCTTTTTCCCTATTCTGGGGTTCAGGTCTCCCGGGGTCGTCCTCAAGGTCGTTCGGTGTTGCCAGTTGTTTTGTGTTTAGGGCTGTGGTTTCCACCTCCCGGGTCCATCCTTCTTTTGTCCTTGTCTTTGGGTAGTTATCTCCTGGGTGCTGAAGGGGCTCCCCCCAGAAAACTAGCGTTGAATGTAATGAAACGTCATTTTCTGGGTGAGCCCCAGAGGCTCCCCAGCAACCCTCTCTCCCTCCAGTCGGTGATCTTTGGCGTGTTTTGACATCCAGCCTCGGAACTGAAGGTGTGGTAGTCAGCGTGATGGGTCTGAGGCTCTCTGTTTCGGCGAGGGGGAGGTGCGCAGAATGTGGTGATGCTGTGCTCATTTGCTCATTTTCTTTTGGGGAGTTTTGTTGACTCGTTTGCCTTTCAGTAGTAGTTTTAACCAGAATAGGGGATTTGTTTTGGGAAGCTTACCTTTCTGGGTGCCTGACCCAGTCGATGGCAGACATAGAATGCTCCATAACCACATGTGCATTTCTATAGGCTCCTCGTGCCTCTCTGAGGAGGCCAGGTCCTGGCTTGTGGTCCTCGGTAGGCCTAGAACCCCATTCACAATGACTGATGCCAAAGTCTAATAATATCCATGTCAGTTCTGCGGAGATGAAGGGGCACCCCCCAGAAAATGGCGTTTCGTTACATTCAACGCTGGTTTTTTTTACTGGAATATTAGGATGGCAAATAGATGCATTTACTCTGGGAAATGAAGTTGTTACAATCCAGGTATTAATTACCTGCATCTCACAGAGAATATTTGTAATATATATATATATATATACTACTTTCAGGTTGTCAGGTAGGATGTGTATGAGGAATTTGCATATTGTATAATGTATCTTATGAGTCATTTGGTGTACGTGATCTAGAAGCCTGCCTGAATGTGGACAAGATTTATTCCCGTCCAGTGTGAGTGAGGGATGTGTCCGGTCGAGTAGTTGAGTTACCAGTTGTTGCAGCGTATAGAATTAACGTTTACTTTTAAGAATGTTTATGATTTTAGTTATCATTTTATAATGTATGAAATATTATGCTAGTGTGTTTGTATCAGTTCGAGAGTGGTTACTTTCGTATGAAGTGTGTTAAATAGAGAATATATCAGACGTCTTGGTTTCTGTGAGTGAGTGAGGTGTACGGCTGGATGAGGGAGGAGAGAGAGATACGGAGCTCAGAAGTAGGTTGGGGCCCGTGTGGTAAACAACTCTTTTTTTAAGTTAAGTCAAGTATTTTCTTTTGTTCTTTTTCTAAGTTAGATAACTTTATCTGTGAATACAAGATATCATTGAGTGAGCCATATTATGATTTTATATATTACATTAAAGGTGATCATACACCTTAGTGATTATGATGTATATAAGATATAAGAATATATTATAAGTTTTATCTTATACATGTATTTTGTGTCCCTCCCATAAAAACTTGCTGGTGCCTGCATATCTTCTTATCACAGGGATTTTTGGGATCATACCTTTGATCCAATAAAAAATGATAGGCCT